TTCAGAGAGAAACTACTCTTTGAATTAAATTTTTATGGTTTCTCCAAAATGTTCTATTTAGTAAGAGTATTGCTAATTTTTAATCAATTACGTAAGTTCAAATATTTGCTGTTGGAAGAGTTTACGAACAACTAATGATTGGATGAATAAAAGTCTTAAAAATCTAAGAATACATATTAATAACAATTATTGCCTTAGGAAAAACGCCCTCTACTGCTTTAGAAACGTCCTCCTATTTCCCATCACATTAGAAAAATCGTTCCCTCTGCAACAGTAACGCCATCTAATAAAATAGGGAAAATGCCTCTTTTACATACAATAAAAACTACTTGTATTGCGTTGTAGACGCCACAATCTATATTGATGGGAGACGTCACTACGATAAAAACAAATAGTTAAAAGTAAAAGTTAATCTGAAATTAGATTCGTGACTTAACTAGCTTGACACCTTTTTAGACCAGCTAAAAATTTTACTTGATGCTAATGCTGAAAAGTTGTACTTTTATTATTAAATTTCCGACATTTCCGTCATTATTGTCAACAATCTTGAACAGCTCACTTATATATTAGTATTTAATTTGATACTACAATATATATATATATATATATATATATATATATATATATATAGTGTATATACACAGTATATAAATATGTATATATATATATCCTTAAATATGAATAAAGTTCATTATTAAACCACTTATTATGATATTTATAGAGTTAAAGATGTAATCTAGAATACTTGCATATATAAATAAAGATTAAATTAACTAGACCGAGTTTACTCTCAAAGCGCAACGCTAGTATCCATTGTTTTTGTTTGTCATTTTATTCAAAGCTTGTTTTAAAAAAAAAACAACGAAAATAAAAAGAGAGAGAGAGAAAAGCAAAAAGAAATTTATTGGATATTACGATTGCATGACTTTAGTATAACTATCTAAAAAGTTTAGTTATTCCCTTTGTTTTACTTTTGTTAAAGTTTATTGTAGTTTTACCCAGTTACACTTTCCCCTTTGTAAGTGTTGGATACAATTATACAAAATGCAATTATATTGCACGATTGCTTTAATGTAAAAACAAGTGAATGGATTATGAGTAAAGGAGTGAATGATTTTTCCTCATTCTTTAGCTCTGTTGTATTTGAAAGATTTTTCAATTAGACCTATTATTGGACCTATTAGTTCAAGAGCTGGATAAAAAGGTAGAGATCTTTTAAAAGACTCTTCACACCATTTCTTAATTAATTTGCATAATCAATTTCCTGATTTTAATCATTCCGAACCGCCATATCATGAAAGAAAGCAATCAATGAGAACCACTCGGAGATGAAAGCCGATATTAATTATGTATCACCGACGCTTTTCGTAGTGCTAAATAAACTGTTTTCCTTTTTGTTCTTATTTCAAGTCTAATTCTACTGTTGAAAGCCGTCATAACCATTTCATTTTCCCCTACCTAGTGTCATATAGCAAAGGTTTTCTCAGTCCATTGCAGTATTCACTTACCCAATTACACCCCAGAAGTTATAGTTATAACTATTTTATCCAACTTTCTTGAAGGGGGTAATGGGGTAGATTCGCTTTTATGAGGGAGGGCGCCATCTTGTAGTCAAGGTCGGTAGAATTAGCGCCAGTCCTACTAAATATTCATGAGCCATACGACGAATCATTCATTGGATGCGCCTGCTGACTGCGAGCTGTTGCTCTTAGTAATGTTTGAAGTTGGTTTGAAAAAAAACTGTTCTTTTAATGGAGGCTACAGAAGATGACGAAGACGAGTTATTTTGCTTTTGGTAAAATTATATATTTTTATAGAGTTTATAGCTAGTATTCCGTATATTCTCATCGCTTAGTGGGAAAAATCGACGTCCTACACACGTGCTGCTGCTGGGGCTTTATTGATTTGAGGCCTGTTAGCAGACAGTATATATGTAATAGAAAGCAATTTTTTCTCCTTTTTCGGCTATCGTCTATATTTCTCAGATATTTTACAAACGATTCGTTAAAGACTTAATAAATGCTAATAAAACTTTAGTATTTAGCTATATATATATATATATACATATATATATATATATATATATATATTAAAATATATAAAAATTAATACTTATATATATGTATATTAGAGTATATATAAATTTATATATATATATATATTCGTTCCTTAAATAATTCATAGTGATGTATCTCTCCAGTTCTTGTTTACCTTTATAATGATGTAAAATCCAGGAATAAAAAAGGGTAGAAAATTTATTTATTATTTTTTTAATGATAAAATTTGCTTATTTAAGTAATCATAAGATATCCTATAATCTGCAAATAGTTCATATGTTTTATAAAAGAATGTATAGTCATAAATGCTATGTAGTATGTGTACAGTACAAATATAGTTTTAGGGTATATTATACATATTCTGTATATATATCATATTGTTCACTATTTGGAGAAATCAGATAGTGGAAAATATATACATCTTTCATATAAAATTTATAATATATAGGCTATAATATATATATATATATATATATACTGTATATATATATATATTGCATATATATGTATAAAATAATAATAGGATATAGGAAATTTATATGCTCTCTCTCTATAAGATATCTTATTTGTTGTTTATATGTCTATACTATATTTTTATCATGTTAAACGAGTTAGGATTAAGTGCCTTTGCCTCGAGATAGTTTCATATTTTTTTCATATCGGAGATAAATATCAATCTATAGCAGTACCTTTATTTAACCTACAAACGCCCATATAAGCAATATTAATCTTTTCCATCTTTCCATTTCTTCTCAAGTTGTATCGCCTTTTTATATCCTTTAGGATAAAAAATATGATCTTATTAGTCATTCCCTTCTCTCCTTTTTTCATTCACTAACAAAAAAGACGTTTTTATCACTGACCTCAATTGAATTGGTTCTGATACACATAGTAACCAAAATTAACCGTTAAATCAATTTATAAGGATTTCATGTGAATTATCAACGTCTAAAGTATAAAATACCAATGTAGGATAACCTTTTGCAGAATGAGCTTACTTCCTCCCTCTTCGTGTATCTAATTTCAAACCGACTTGGCAATATTCTTTGGCTTTTAGTTATTTAGTCTTTCCTTTAATGGATAAATAGAATAATTTTTCTAAATCTTTCTTGTGTAGACGTTATAATTTTTCAAGTCACGAACTACCACACTCACAATGGTCACACCGTCCAATTTACGTGATTTATAGAATAGCTAACTACAACATAAAGACACGAGACCAGATATACAAATTTCTGGTCCTACAGCTTATGTTGTACATATATGTTTATATAAAGAAAAGGATATTGATGTATTGACTATACATATTAATTTATATATATATATATATATATATATATGTACTGTATATACTATAAATATTTTCTACCCTTCCAATAGACATATTTATATTTCGTAGGTATGTTTTGATAAATTAGACTGAAAAGAAACGTTTTACGCCCTAACTGAATATTCTATTTAATTAGTGAAAATTAATCCGTTCATAGAAATTCTAATTTATTAAACCTTTAAAAAATATATGAGGGAATCAGTATATTAACAACGAATAAGACTAGTATTGGACTTGTAGTTGAAACACATATAGTGTAATATCTGAAAATGTATGCTATTCTGTATTGTATATATTATGCTTCATGGTTCCGTTTGGATGTAACAGAATCGGATCATAGGCTAAAGGGAAAAACAGGTTTAGCCAAAAGGGTTTTTTTTCCATCAAATACACAGCATACTCCGTACAGGGTATATATAACATATATTCTTTACATGTAAACCTATACACAATATATAAATAAATCTTTTGCATTGAAGTTTTTGTTCAACAGGTACAAGATATTCTCTATATATCTATATAATTCTAATCAATCTATACGTATAAACCACACACATCCCTAACAGTAAATAACTACATATATAAAAGAAAATTCTTAATTTGAAAAAGAAATTATTGCAGTATAGTTAGAATATTTATTTTACAGAAGTAGGAGAGGGAGGGAGGGACGGAGGGGGTCGATTAATTGATTTATACGTGTATATAATAGTCTGACATGTCCACGTTTTTTCGATTTCTAAGTACTATCTACAAGATATATTATCCATAACTGAATTTATTCAGCTTATCGACGTTTCTTTTGTTATTATTCGATTTGCTGAGAGCGTTATTTATCTCCACTTTGCTTTTCATTTATATCTTATTAAAAGTTACTAACCCTTTTTTATACTTTAAGAGAGAGATTATTTAGAGTTTCAAATATATATTTTTCAGATTGACAAAATATAACATGAAAGAAGTTCGTTATAGAGTACGGATGGATACTTTATAATTAATATTAACATAGGCCTGTTATCTTCTTTCGCTTCAATTTGCTAGAGCGGGAGAGTGAGAGAGAGAACTTAATCGATATTGCGTTGAATTTCTTTGGACAATTGAACTCACACTTTCCAACCAAGTTCGGAAGGATGGTTGTAAGTTGATTTTCCTTTTTTTTTTTTTTAAAGAATTAAAAATAGATTTTGTATAGAAAATCAAAAAACTTTGTTGTTTACTGTATAAACTCTACTTATTTTCGTAAAAGAAAAAAAAATATAACTAGTATATTTTATCTTATAAGTTTTCTTTTGCTATTTTTTTGCAATCAATTACTTTAAATGCCTATCAATTTGCCTTTCTCAGCCTGTCTTTATAATAATCACGACTAGTTTTTCAGTCATTTTAATGAGCTATTGCTCACAAACAATCTAGAATGTACACTGTATATATATAATATAAAACATGGGACATATATCTATCTGGTTGCGCACAGTATATTATTACAATAGTAGAGTTAGATTATACGCTTAATGCATAGGATAAGAAAACGTATATGTTGAGCAAATGTTCTGTTTAATTAATAAACGAAATGATTTAATAATTAACTATCTATATTTGGTCTATACTAATTGGAATATCTCTCTAATTTTCTTCTCTTATTCACCAACGACACCTTCAAAGGAGAATAAGGAAATTATGTACCCTCATTGTTTATATCCTTGCAAATAGATCAATAGATGAAGCCGACCAACGACTAAAATTGGATTTTTTTTTATAAAGAAGCCTTTCGTAAAGGCATTTAATTATAAAAGTGAAAAATGTTGAAGGCAAACGAACGTCAACGAAGAAATATGTTTTAGAATTTAATTATGAATGATCTTGATTTCTCCTTTTCTTTTATTCTTGTTCTACTTTTCCTCTCTGTCTAATTACACTTTATATACTGTATATATAGTATATATTCTGTACTATATTATTTTTACTTTTTCTTAATAGTTTCACCGAGCAGGGTTACTTTTCACTTTCTCTTTTATTTTTGAATCGTACTATTGCTTTATGCAGGTGAAAATAAGTGTTGCGAGCAAATGCCATAAACAAGTTTTCGAGACGCTTATTGAGTTTAGGCTTTAAGAGGGTATAAATCTTATATAAATCACTTTTTTTCTTTTTGCAGTTAAACAGCGATATTGTAGCAGTAGAAGTGATTGATCTTATAAACAACGGTAACGGCCTGGGATTTGGAATAATGGGCGGAAAATCAACGGGTGTTGCAGTAAAAATGATTATAGCAGGCGGTGTTGCGGACAACGACGGCCGTTTGAAGATTGGCGACCATCTACTTCATATTTGCCAATGGTCAGTTAGGGGAATGAGCTCAGAGCAGGTAGCTTTTGTTTTGAGGAAGGCGGGAAGTCATATCAGGCTGGTAGTTGCTCGATCAATATCAGAGTCCTCAGAAGTTGCTAGGAATCCTCCATATTCAGAAGCTGTTCCAATTGAGCGTCTAGAAGAACATTTACATCAATTGTACGCACTAGGTTTAACAGAGAGCTTTACAAATGACTCTCAAGGTTTCCAAACACCCGAAAAGCAAAAGGAAGACTATGAAAGCCCTATTAAAGATTATACGAACGCTACATTTCATAAGGAACTAAAAGATAAAGAGCAAATTTTCACGCCTCCGACGTTGCATAAAACCCAGCAAACAATCGAGTCTATGCCTGTAGAAACAGTATTCGACGTCGACCTAGTTAAAGACGAGTCGGGCTTGGGCATAAAGATAGCCGGTCTTGTGGGTTTTTCGGCTAACGAGAAACTCTGCGGAATATACGTTAGGCACGTTCTCGATGGAAGTGCGGCGGCTTTAGATGGTCGAGTTCAGCCGCATGATCGGATCGTGGAGGTAAATTTTATTAGGCAAAGAGAAACCTTACAAACCTTATTAATCGTCTTTTTTCGAATGCATAATTTACTAAAACTTTGATGTGGCTATAAAAAAATTCATCATATATCACATATTTAATACTCTTTATATTATTTCACATTCACGTGAGTAGAGTATACCAATCATCTTGTATATTTGCAGGTAAATGGACAGAGCTTAGAAGGTTTTACGAACGCTCAAGCTGTCGAGGTGCTGAAATCGACTGGAAAAATGGTTACAATGAAATTGGCTAGATTAAATATCAGAGAGGACAGCGAAGGCAATAAGGAAAATAGTTCAAAGAGCTTAAACGTTAATCAGGATAAAATTGATCCAAGAAAAGATGATAATGACAATCAGCTGCCCATCGAGGCTAACCCGGAAGATGAGCTAGTCAGGAATTGGGAAAATAGGCTAAATTGCCCTAAGGGCGAAATAATAATAGCACACGTTTCAAAGTTCAGGGATGGTGGGGGATTAGGGGTCGGTCTCGAAGGTACTGTCGATATAGAGGACGGCGTAGAAGTCCGACCTCATCACTATATCAGAAGTATTCTCAAAGAAGGACCCGTCGGCCAAGATGGTATATTAATGCAAGGAGATGAACTTCTTCAAGTTAATGATGAAATTTTGTTTGGCAAGAATTACAAGAACGTCTTAAGCATACTAAAAAAGCTGCCACTTAACGTTCGAATAGTCTGCCGCAGGAAAGCATTTGTGACGTCAGAAAAGCTGTTCAAAGCGAAATCAGAGGCATGCCTAGTGATGGATCGACATTACCCAGTTGCTAGGTGGCGTTCTGTTGAACCTCTAACAGCCGTAACAGTTTGGAACAAAGCCGTCACAGAAGTGACTCTACCAAAAACCAATAAGGGTTTGGGTTTCTCTATGATAGATTATGAAGATCCCTTGAAGCCAGGGGATTGGATAGTTATCGTTAGGTCATTAGTTCCTGGCGGAGTAGCTCAAGCGGACGGAAGAGTTTTACCGGGTGACAGAATTGTTTCTGTAAACGATATCTCCTTGCAAAATGGCCGTGTCAGTGACGCCGTTAAGGCACTCAAAGGTTCGTTAATGAATGTTATTGACACCTCTCTTCTTTTTAGCTAATTGTTAGATTAAACAATTAACTCTTTTTATCTTTCACAGAGGCGCCACCTGGTCAAACTAGAATAGGTTTGATCAAACCCTTGTCACCAAATTCACCAGAAAGTTCAATGGACGATATAAGTGAAAATTACGAACACATTGAGTTTGGAGAATTTGTCAATATATGCACAGATACTTCTTCCATAATTTCCAATGAGGTTTAGCATGTATATATGAATAATAAATGGCTAATAAATAATATTTTTTTATCTCTTTCTTACTTTAGGTGGTGGTGAGCGGTAGTACTAAGTCTTTAGAACAATCTGCCGAGTTTAATTCACTACTCAGGGATGCAAATAATTCAACTGCAGAACCATGTCTTTCATCACAGTAAGTGATTTGGAATAACTTTTACCCTACTAATATATTTATTATACACACTTGATATATCTCATATTCATTCTAATAAATTAAAATAATAGGAGCCCGACCACTCAGGAAAACCAACCTTCAACCCTTCACGCCAGCACATCGACAACATCTATTAAACGCCAAATAGATCAGGCCTTATTCTTTAACGATCCCATAAGAATTACAATTCACAGGTTATACATTATTCTTTATATTTTGTTCCATTTAACAAATGTTATTCCGGTCATAAAAAGACTTTATATAATTAAAAATGGTGCTGAGAATATACAGGCCGTGTCCTTTAATAAGGAAAGATTTTTTTTTATCTCTTAATAGTCACTCTCTTCTCCATTTTTTTTCTTTTAATTTTTGTTATTTTTAAAGACAATTAACGAAAATAGTAAATTGATTTAATCGATGAAAGTAAAAGGGTATGGCTATTGTTTTATGATCTATTATAATATTTCCACCTTTACAATAATAGGCATTAGTATTGTTAATATATTAATATGATGAATTAGAATCATTTATCGCACCTATTCTCATACACGCTAATAACTAATAGAGTACTGATATCGATCTAAATTTACCAAAGCCATTAAATTCGTTTTTTATACGAAAATCCATTATATATTCGTTATTTATATTTAACGTTTTCTACTCTGCGATATTTTTTTTATTATTATCAAATATGTATGATAGTTCAAAATAGAACAAATTTCAAATTGATAAGTCTAAAAATGGAGCATTCCCGCATGGAAATCTAGCAAAATTAACGCCGTAAACCTAACGATTTTCGTTAAGGAATAGACTTTTATCGATTGAAAAATAGATAGAGTTTTTTTTTCTTCGTCTTCCTTCTTTTCCTTCTTTAATTTTTTTAATGTATTGTTTCTTCATTACTCTATAGAAAGGATGACGAGTCCCTGGGCTTAAATATTGTCGGCGGTAAAATGGATAGCGAAATCTTTCCGAATGAGCTTAAATCTGGAATATTTGTTAAACAAGTTGCCGAATGTGGGCCGGCGGCTGGACAACTGAAAAAGGGAGATCAAATATTGGAAGTAGACGGTCAGGATATTAGAAATGCAAGGCACGAACAGGCAGTTGAAGCTATCAAATTTGCTAAATCGCCTATTACGCTCCTCGTTCGTAGTATTGGCCAAGGAAAAGAAGAAAATGAAGGGAATAAAGAAACGGATGATTTAACTGAATCGTTGGACAATTTACAATTTGCTGATTTCTTCCAAGCGACGCCCTTAGTAAATTCCGATTCTTGCCAGGCGTCTAAATATGATGAAAAAATCGAACTGCAAGATATTAAATCAAAGATACTTGACGATTAAACAACTTTTACTAAAAAAAAAAGAGGAATACTTGATTGCTTGTTATAAAAGTAGGTTAATTGGCTATCTTTAGCCAATTTTTTACCTCTCCTTCATCTTTTCATCAAGCCTAGATACCTTTTTTATCTGATGTTAAATTTTCCAAACAACACAAGCAAGTTGGAGAATTTAAAAAAAAAATAGACCAAATTAATTTAAGGCCTTTAGAAGCGTTATCTTTTTAATCAAAATCAAGTAAGTTTTAAGTACAGGAAAGAATTTTTAATGAAAAATTCTGCAGTACAAAATCTTTACAATAAAAGGCAAAAAAAAGAAAGCGCCATCTAGTGCTAACTCAAGTTTTTATTATTTTTTATGGAAATAATCTATTAGCCAATTTTTTCCCCTTTAATCTCTTGGTCTAATCTAAATTCGTTTTTTCACAAACAGGAAATTTCAAGGAAATTTCGAATACTCTGCATAAAATTTCTCATTTAAAAGAATTTTTATAAAAGTGAGAGAGAGAGAGAGAGAGAGACGAAAAATGGGAAGAAGAGAAAAGAAAGTATGGAAGAATTTTTTTTCTGTCTGCAGATTCTGTACTAAGGGAATTTTAGCAAAGAGAATATATGCCACAGAAAATCCATTGATTAACGATCTGATAACACGTCCCATGGTTCTCTATACGCTCTATTCTAAATTGAATTAAACGAACAGTTAAAAAACAAGAAAATAGCAACCGAAAAGAAGATATAAGAAAATGGTTCACATGATTTTTGTTTTGTTAAGAAAAGATATAAAATAATAATAAAAAAAAAGAATAGAGAAAAAGTTTTGTACATGCAAAATAAATAAAATACGAAAAGAACGTTGTTTATCATAATTATGATATAATTTTTTTTGTTATTATCGCTCGTGTGACGCGAATTTATTATTAAGAGTTTTTTTTATAATTCCTTATTATCTTTATTTCTTTACATTTTCAAGTGTTTTTCTTTTCCTTCTTTTTCCCACTTATTCTTCTGCTTCTTCTTCATATGCTTTTTACAATCTATTTTCTTCCTATCCCTCTTTTTTCACTTATTACATTCTCATTCTTATTATATATCTAATACAATGTTCCTTTTCTTTTAATAGAATAAAATTTTATATTCTTCTTTTTAAATATACAAGAATGTCATAAATAATTTTTATAAATAAAATATAAAGAAATTAACTTTGAATCGTCGCTTTTATCATATTAAACTACATATATAAAACAGAATATATATATATAGCTAATTTATCATACTCTCCAGCATATATCATATATAAAATATATTGATGGAGAGAGAGAGAGAGAGAGAAGGAAGAGATAAACATCACACTATAGATGGCGTTTCTAGTTGAAAAGGAAATTTATTCGTTACCCCCTTTAGCCGTTGGGCTGAAAATATTACTCTCCGTCAATATAATGTTTGAGTTGCATCTACCCAAGGAGTGTTTCTTTCCCTATATACTTTAGGACTTTTTATATGGAATAGGAAATAGAAATATGGAGATTTAAGTGCTTTTCGCAAGTTTACTATTTTGTGTGTAAAAGAGGCAACTAGAAATAAAAAAGTGTGAGAAAAAGCAAGAACTAAACGTTTACCACGTTTGAGAATTGAAAATGGGGCAGTAAAAGTAAACGAGTACCTGTTGGACATAAAAGAGAAATCATATTAGATGCTTAATTTCAACGCTCATCCGCTTTCTTTAAATACTATGGAAATTAGTTTGGATAATTTACAATAAAGAAAAAATATTAATATTTCATCATAAATTTGCATAATAGAAAGAGAGTGAGAAAAAGAAGGAAACCTTTTTCCCTTTCCCAATTTTCTCACACTATAATAACAAGCTTAGAGACGAATTAGTTTGTATTACAAAAAAGGTACATAAGAGGGCAAAAACTATAGGATATACTGTTTAATCATTATTCTTACGTCGATAAAACATAAAACTTGAAGTGATTAAGAAAGAAATTCGATCACAATTCAACGATTATTAATCGAATAAAGTAGATTCTTTTTTTCCTTTCTTTTTTTTACGTCCTTCTTTTTTTCCTATAAAGACTTAAATTGACAAAATATAAGCATAAAAAAAGCTCATAATAGAAAAAAGAAAGAAACGAATTACTATTTAGACTGTTCAGAATGAATAATACGTCTAGATTTATGTTTTTCGTATTTGTCACAGTGCTACTTTATTATTTTCCCCCTTGCTTCTACCATTTCCCCTTTCGCTCCCCTCCCCCTCCCTCCCTCACATCCTCTTCTCTCTCTCTCCTTCCTCCCCTCATTTTTATATTGTTTCCTTTTATTCTTCTTTTCTATCTTTCCATTTAAGTAGAATTTATAGGCTTCAGTTTTAACGTTTACCTTATACTTTTTCTCTTTTGTATAAAAAAACGTTGATCGTTAAAGGTAGCTTAATTGTATTGTCCATATATTAGACTTATATATATATATATATATTTGTTTACGCCTACTATTGTAATTACTACTCTAGTAGATTATGCTAAAATAAAGAGTAAGGAAATATATATATATATATATGTATACGGTGTACATACATAATGTATATGTACAATATACTATAGAAGTGCGTATATGTATTTTTACTTGCTATATATATTTGTATGTGTAAAAGATACGAAGAGTTAGAGGGAAAGCCAGAAGCATAGTGAGGGAAAAAGAAAAGAGGCTAATTCTATCTTTATGAATAAATGTAGGAAAAGATAAATAGTTGCTGTAATCTTCTTAAACTTTGATATAGACGTCAAATTATTAAAGAAAATTGACAGTTGTCATATAGTTATCTAGTTTGGCTGTTTTCGTTTTTGGTATTCTCTAATTTACAACCTTTTTTCTCAGCATCCTCATACTCTTTCTCTCTCTCTCTTTCTGCTTTGCTCTCTTGGTGAATGAAGGCCTATTCGTATTGTTTGTCTGCACCTAACAGCTAGAACAAATAAACTGGAGACAAGGCTATATGTAGGTCTTTTTCTAATTCCTCTTTTAAAGTATTATAAATTGAAATAATTGACAAGAGCTAACAAATATATGCAAACTACCTTTAAACTATTTAAATATTTGATAAATGTCTAGTTTCTATTGTCTTTTGACACTATTTGGAAAGCCCTTTTTTCCCTTATCGGCTGTATTCCCTTAACCGCTCCATCGCTCTGTTTTTCCCTCGTTCCCCTTACTGGTTTGGTAGTATTAAATGGTGGAGCTTGCTCTTTTGGCACAAGGGAAATTACTGAATTTTTTGTTTTTTCATGTTATTTTATTGCCTGGTCTCTCCAGTCTTACGCCTTTCTTGGCCAATTTTGCTAATGAATGTAACATATAATACGTTCATGTTAGGAGAGAGGAAGGAAATGATTATCTGTAGTTTATCAGATGCAATTTGTCTGTTCTGTGAACAGAACAGATTATTTCTAATTGATTGGTAGAAGAGAAAAAAATCACTTTTACCAAAAGAACACAAGAAATATTACATAAAAAGATATTTTATAAGCATGAAGAATATGTAATAACAACTTTATATGCAATATATAATGTACTATTTATAACAATTGTAGTATAAAGACAAATAGTAGTACATTCACACTCATTTATCATTTAAATATCTTATTAATAAAACTTTAGATCGTAAAAAAGGAAAGAAAAGGAAAAATATAGAATTAATTTCTTCTTTTTTGTTCCTATATAATTTCATATAAGAATTAGCAGACAGCTCTTCTTATTTTATATCATTTCGCTCGTAACGAAAGAGATAGAGAGATTGAAAGAAGAAGAGAAAAATTAATATGACAAACAAGGTCGACAAACGTATATTAATAACGGGAGAACGTAACATATGTCTCTGATTTATATAAACAAAATTAAGTTGTGTCATACCAGCTTTCTTTCTCTGACGGTCATTGCGTTTGTCATATATTAATAAATATTGTATATATTCTACAAAGAGTTTGATAAACTTTAACAATATCACTGTTTTAGTTTGCTTTCTTAGCAAACTATAGATTTCGCAAAAAGGATATAAATGTTTTCGTTCTGCTTTATCGTCCCTTTTTCCTCTTTTGATATTTGCAAAGACAAGTACTCCTATTATTTTTATTTTTCTTTTAGATAGATTAGTTAATCTATATATTTTTATAATGGAAATAGATACGCTTAAAAATTACAGGATTTCCAGGATTGAACTATTAAGGATAGGAAAGCAATCTCCTTAATAGCCTTAAGCACCAGACCAATTAAGATTGCTAAAGCAATTTAATGAGCAAAAAGCAACAATCGTCCATAATTACTAGAGAAAAGGGATTGATTAACGATCTACGCCCTCAACATAAACAGTAAGAGGGAAATTTTTTTTTTGCTTATTCAGCAAAGCGAGTAAAATTAGAGTACATTTGCATTAACTATATTAAATATTTCATCCATGTATAATACAACCTTTTTTTAAATACGTACTTAACGTGAGTTTATGCCGTTTTAATTCACTTTTTTGTCACGTGATTTAGTATTTATATCTCAATTTTCTTCAAAGCGAAAAATAAGAGACTACCTGGATTAAGTAAAAACACTTATATACATGTATATACTGTCTATATATATATACATATATATATATACAGTATATACTAATATAGAAATCGATTTTAATTTATGCAACTCTTTGGCTCAGATGGATAGGGACGCTAATCATATTGAACGAACATAAATAATTCAAATTTTTTTAATTATTTATTCTAAATGCTTTAAAAAATTTTTCCATGTAAAATATGAAAATTACGCAATATACTTTTCGTTACGAAAAGTATTGCTCTTCTGATTTTTATCCGGGAATTTATTTTATTTACTTTATAAATGTATTACGTAATTTTTTATTAGTTGATACATAGGCTTTTGTTTTTTTAAATATTAATTTTTTCAGATTATACAGTCGATAGAGTTGCAGGAAGAAGAAAGGGTACAAAAAAAACCATCAGCTTTGTGATTCTTCCATGCCGTCCAGCCATTTTAAAACTCGTTCATTCCTCTCCTGAACCGAACATCTACGAGCCATTTCTTTTTCTTCAACGGTTTTAGCCGGCGTCGATGGAGCAATAGCGGGTGTATCGCTTGGTGCACTTTGACCACAGTCACTGCAGTTGCTATTTTGTACGGCGGGTGAATCCAATAGGGATATAGTTTCCAATAGGGAGCAGGTAGAGGCTGATGGCAGTCCATCAGCCACCTGCTCTAATACATTTTTCTCGACAAAAAAATCAAGCCGGGCGTTTTCGCTAATATTCATTGAATACCTAATATTCGATGATGTATTCAGTTTTGTAGGTCGTCTCCTCACCACTGTATCGTCCTGTGATTCTCTTTTTTCTGCCGGTTGGGTACGGCCTATTTGACGTAAATCCGTCGCGCTAGCGCAACCCGTGCATCTGAAGTAAAAAGTAATTATAAGAATTTATGATTTTAAGATAAGGCCTATATACTTTGAAAATAGCATATATCTTACAAGCTAAATCGGAAATTTTGTTATTAAGAGAAACAGACCAACTATAATTAATAATTTAATACGTATTTAATTATAGAATAGTGGAAACACTGAAACCTTTCAAGCTTGTATGCGTGTGGTCCTAAACTAGGATAGTTTACGGATAAGAGCAGTAGTCAGTTAAAGAATAAAATTCGCATTTTTTCTTTTTTTTTGGCAAACAAACATACTGTAAACGATAAATCTGACTACTTCGCCCCCCTCCTCTTTTCCACCCATCCATTCGATCTCTCTTACTCTCTCTCACTCTCTCTCTCTCTCTCTCACCCTCGTTCTTCTTCCTCTTACTTGCCCCTTGCAAAAAAAAAATTATCCACGGGGGACAAGTAAAGTGTTGTCTAGTGATACGAGCGTAAAAATAAATTTCGTATTTCTTTAGATATAAACTGAAATGTATAGGACTATCAACTGGTCTTAAAAGAGAAATACTTTTGTAGAAAGAGCAAAATCACTCATAAAACTTTGAAATAAAAGAGCAAATCATTATATTAAATATTAAGCATAAACGTGTGAAGGGGAGGATTATATCTTTTAAATATCGTCTTCTGACCACGTTCTGTGTTTATTTATAGACTAATACACATGTAAGAGTTCTACTAATGCTTCCAATTTTTTTATATCTATCCGTAACAGGAAAGAATCCAAAAATAGACTTGTAATAACCGAAATTTTTCCTAGAAAGTTTTCAAAGAACTATCCAGTTTCTATAATTTCTTTAGGCCTATCGTCCTTCAACGACCTAACGTTGATTCTTATCTGTATTTGATTTCTCTCCTCTCCTCCAATGCAGCATAAACAGAGAATATATCGCCTAATGAGAGTTGGCACGCAATTTTTATTTGTTATCGAGGTGGACAAGTTATTTTTATTTTACACATAAATATAATGTAGATAAACAATATAAAACATTTCTTATAGCAGGTCTATAACTTACATTTTATTATGGTATAATTAAAACTGTATTTTTAAACAGTTTAGGGTCGGCTAACATTTGTTATAGAAATAAACATAAAGTGTTTAATGCTTTCTCGTTTCTCTTCCATCACTACATAACTCACAGATGTTCGCGAAAAGGCGTAAGTTCTTTTTTTTGCACGTATCACGTGACCCATTTTAGACTTCGGGCTTACTAACCTCTTTCCTCCTTAACTAGTTTCGTGCTACTAAATATAGTCTTTTTGAGGTTGATAAAGTTAATTAAGGCTAACACCATGACCCGTAGCAGGGCAACGAAACTTGAATAGAATTACGATTACTATTTGACTAATAATTCTCTTCTAAATAGGGAAGAGTGACAGCATCAAAAGTAAACAAAACGAGAGAATCCTGTAAAATCGTAACAAATTGAGTTTGTTTTCTCTATCGGATGCGAATATCTCTTGTTGGGGAAATATACTCGTCAAAACTTTAGCAATATATTTATAAAAACATTTCCACCATGTAATTAATACACAAAGATGCTTAATTCCCCAATCCTTATTACCATTTGGTTAAGAGGAATGCAAATCAATGAGAAAGGGCTTAACAAGTTTTTCTGTCTAATAAGACTGCTTCTCTGAACGTGATAGGATATTACTAACTATATGACTGTCACGTGTCAAGAATATTTTTGTATTTTATCCTCTAATAACTTTTATGAATAAATATTCATTTCAAAGAGAATCAAAGGGAAAAATAGAAAGTTAATTGATGATCCTCATTAGTGTGTGTTGTTTTGTTGTGTATACATGTATGTATAAAAGTAAGTGTATGTTAGCTTCATGACAGTTTTGTTTTATTATGATAGAATAAACCATAGCTAAGCTAGTTTGTAAAAATTGAAAAAATACCAAATGTAACATATACTTCACTGTGTAAACATATTAGCATATAGTCTAGATCCTCTAAACTACTATAATCCTTTGAGATTTCTATTGGACTGTATTAAAAAAATAAAAAATAACAGGTTGAAAAAAAAATAAAACTAATTGCATTTTTCTGTCTCTGTGCACATACAAACAGGTCAAGGGAATTTGATAGTATTTTTTGTTATATCATACAAGTATAGAAATTTACACCAACGAAGATATCGAGCAATGTACTAGTCTAAAAAGTTACGCTTTTTAGTGTTGTTTAGAAGATGAATACAATGCGTATCTTTGGTTTGTTCTCATTTGTTATTGTCTCTTCCTTTCACCCCTCTCTAGATAAATGGCTATGAATGATAGAATGAAAGAAAGATTGAAAGCAAAATGAGAGATTTCAGTTGGTAACAAAATCATTATTGGTAGAGGATTATACTATAGATATATTACACCTTTTTCTCTTTTTTATGTAGATTTATTACTTGGCCTCTTTTCGTATGTACAACACGTTTGTTAAGTCTTACAGCTTCCCCTACGAAAACCAGCATGATGAGACTGTCGATGAGTACTAAAATCATCGTAAAGAATGTTCCCCTATGCTCTTAGTCATCACCTATTTCGAAATAATGAAAAATGTATAATAATTGTCCTAGATGAAGGAGGACCGTAAAACTGTTTCCATGCCGTTAAACATTCTTTCTCCCTCGTTCGCTCACTAATCCCCTTATTTCAGACGTCAAATAATAAATACATAGAAGCATTTAAAGGTCACTCACCTAATAGTCGGTTTTGGTTTCAAACTAGCTGCGCCGTTTCGTTCATCGTCACTGGCGTTCATCGGACAACCGACTTGGCATCTATGAATAAACCAATTTAGCAATAAATAAGATGCGTCATTTTTCATCTAAAACCTACATTTGTAATGAAAAAAAAAAGAATAGAGTACATTTTTTCCTTTGTCCTCTTAGATGGCTTTTAAAAAGAGATAAAAGAAATTTTACATTATATTATCGCCCTTATGATACATTCACTATGACCTTAATATTGGATAATTTTCTTCATAATTATTTTCAAACCTGAAAAGTCGATTTCCGGTCCGTTCAATAAAAAGTTTTCGAAGGAATAATCGTTAAATCGAGCTATTAGAACTCCTAGTTAGAAATTTCACTGTTCGTGACGGCCGCTTTCCCGGGAATACGATCATTGATTCATCTCTCCGCCCTTCTTTTATTAGTTAGCAACGCCATCTAACGAATACTTTTACATAATATCACCACACCATATACGAATTTTTTTCACTAAGGAAACACTTAAACCGTTTTTAGAAAAAAGCTATTTAGAAATAATAAACAACAGCGACACCTATATCTACAATGAGAATACTAAAAATAGGTTATTTAAAGAGAATTCTCACAAGCTAATGACTTGAATAAATAGTTAGAAGAGACAATCTTTGTCTGCCTTTCTTCCCTGAAGAGTGCAAAAGGGATGGACAAAAAAGTCATTCCTCCACCTTATAGCCTCTCCATTCTTTTTTATTATTATTTCTTTTTGAAAGTACCGCTTTCTTCTTTTTCTTCTTGCCCCCTTCTCTCTTACTCTCTTCATCTTACAGGCTTTCGCGTTTAACAAAAAAGAATTAAATGGCACTAAAAAATTTACTCTTCCTCTCCTTTCATTTAAAAGATTTTATCGCCATCTCTAAAGTCTAAGAAAGTTTACAATTTCAGCCGAATTCGATTAGTTATATATAAGAGAAAAAGTTTAAAGGGAATCTTTATGAGATTTCTTATTCTTGGTAAAGAATGAAAAGAAAGAAAAGGAAAAAAAAGGGAAGAGAGAGAGAGAGAGACAGAGAGAGAGAGAGAGAGAGAGAGAGAGAGAGAGAGAGAGAGAGAGAGGCAGATAGATAGACAGAGCGACGCAGAGATAAATAGAAAATAAAATAGACAGACAGATAGATAGATAGATAAATGAAAAGCTGTAAAAAATAAGAAAGAGATTCCTTTCATAATATTGGTTTTTAAATAAGATTACAATTTTTTCAAGGATTCGAAGTTTGGCCTCTTTGCTTAGGCTAAATCAAGTGTAAACTAAACTTTATTTATTAGACTTGTCATTCCTCCCTCTCTTAAATATATTTAAGAAACTCCTGCAAAGCTCTTTGTCTTATAAACTCTATCAATCGTTGAAAACAAAAGATAATAAATACGACTACACACTATTACTCAAGCTCTCGAATATCAATAGGTAGATGAAAGTCATATTTAATTAAAACAGTCTTTATATGTATCGTATTCATTCCTGATATACTTTATTACTTTTAGATACTGTATAAAGAAAGTGAAAGTAATTAAAATAGAAGTTCTAAATACGTTTCATCATTTTTTGTTATACTTTAATTAAAAATACTCCTATACTAACGAAAACTAATTTCACGAGAAGAAAGAAAAAATTTAACAACAAATTGTTGAAATTGAAACTTTTAAAAAGATATTTCAACTATGAAACTTCTCTTACTATTTGTATAAAAGATTTATTTCTTAAAGATTTCCCTACAAACATCTGCAAATGTCGCAAATTTTAATACCTTTTGTTATTCATGCTGGTTTTTTTTTACAGTAGAATATCCGGATATAATCCTAGTAAAAAATTACAGGCGGTAGAAATTATACAATAACAAAATTATTACGCAAATACGCCTGTTTCAGAAGCGAAATATTAGGCCTGAATAGAAAAAAAAACCACAAACATATATGTTATATACTGTTTATATATATATATATATTTTTAGACAGACAAGAAGGCTTGTACCGATCAAATTTTTATTTATGAAAATGTTTATATTTACAATTCGATTCTTTCTTTCCTTTTTAATAATAATAGAAAAAGAATAGAAATATTTGCGAGATAAAAGTTTTCTCTCCGTTTAAGTTTTATATTATTATTCTATAGCTTCGTTCAATGCTTGTTCTGATAATTCTGTAGCACCTAGAAAAGAAAAATTAAAGAATAGATATCAATTTATAAATATAGTAATACACATAGTAATACATTTGTATACAAAGACGTAATTGTCGTTTCTTTTTGTAGAATGAATTAAATTTAAAATAAAAAAGAAACTATAAATAAATAAATTAAATTATAGGAAACATTCAAAGAAATAATAATTAATTAATGAATAAATAAAGAAATTGTAATTAATTAATAACGCGATTAATTAATTAAAACCATATATACAAAGATTTGTCTTTAAATGTTGTTTTATATATGGTTTTTTTTATTCCTTTACTCCACAGATTTAGCATAGATTCCCCCAAAAGTTGTAAATTGTTAGAAAGTTAATTAAATATATATATATATGTATAGTTCTGTTTTTTTTTTTTTTTACAAATTCCTATATGTTCGAAACTTCAGCCTACATTTTATTATTATTTTTTAGGTTTTGTACAGTTTGTTTTAATTCCTCTTTATATATCTTATATAATATATAGTGCATATATACAGTATATATATATATATAAAAGAATAAAAACAACACATGACATACCCAAAAAAAATTAATTAGGTCTAATTTATATGCATGTAATTGGAGTGGGCAGAGTTTCTGTCAAACACTTTTCTGGATTTTTTTTTCTATGAATAATTTTAAAAAATGTGAAATAGGTTATCGATAAAGCAACTATATAGTATATATATATATATATATAATTTATATATATACTGTCTATATATTACCTAGAACAAATCAAAAATTGTAAGGAAAAATTTGGTTTAAATTATCTCTCTTGATTGTATGATTACTTATTAAAGATTAGATTCGTTATTAGTGTTAATTGCTTCAATAATTAGACACAAAAAATGTCTTTTTTTGAATATTATTCTAAGCCCTTCTAACCGAGTATCCTAATCAGTTTATTGAACAGTTAAGGTTATCTGAAAGGTTCTTCTTAATAGTACTTTATGCCATCTGCAGGATACTTTCAAAAAAAAATAAAGTGCGCCGTCTGCCGGACCGAATTAGTACAACCATTAGGAATCGCCAAGACTTGGCTTACCTATTTCGTAATCTAATCTGATTCTCTTGGCAGCAATCTGAAAAACAATCAGAGTTTAAAAAAAACTAAAGAAGAAGGGTAAAGGTTTTTTCTTTTCTGTATTTATTTATTCAAAAAGTCATCTAACCTGTTCTAGAGCGCTATAGAAGTTCCCAGCAGTGTTATTAGAAAGGCGAAGTTTGCAATTATTATCTTTCGTTCGGAGTTCGTTACAATTTTCAGTGTCAAATGAACCATCGATGCAAGTAATTAGGCGTCCTTTATCGACGGCTTTTTCCTCCTCTTCCTCAATCTCTTTATTCGTTTCTGCTACTTCCGATACGCTATTCTCATTTTCATCTTTTGAGAGAAGCTTTTCCTCTCGCTTTCTGTCCTTGATTCCCTCTTCTTCTTCCATAGGCTTTCCTTTATGTCTGGATTCTTGCCGCCGGCGTTTGGCTGAGAAATTTGAAAAAAAAAGAAAACAGATGTTATGTAATAAAACAAGAATTTATGTTGGTGATGAAACATTTTAGACAAGTCGTGTGATGATAATTTACTGTACGAAATTAAGTAATATTGAATGAAGTATCTTAATTAATAGTAACACTCGCACAGTATACGCCATCTATAGTTCAAAACTTTAAAGTAGTGAGTGAAAACCTTATCTCTTCTCTTATAGAAACACCGACAATGTTTTAATAAAGAAACTATAAGGGCTTAGAGCAACTGTGTCCATTCTTTCAATCTATTATGATCGAAGGCTGCTTCGCCTACTACTTCAGTTGAAAAGAGCTATTTAAATTTTTTTTCTTGGCCTAAACAACCAGAAAGATTTTTTTTAGCAGATTTGTCTTGTCTTATAGGCAGGGCAAACGGCTAGTGACACCTCGCAAAGAGTTTCTTTCTTCCCCCCTCAGTATTTTTTGGCAAGTAAACAAAAAATGAAAAATATTTCTTTCCTTTAAAAAAGAGGAAAAGATTTCTACTTTGAATAAAGTTAGATGAAGAGAAATAGAAAGAGAATACATGATTTAGTACTGGGGTTCTTTACTAATGAATAATGAATTGGGAAGAAGATAATGAAAACCTTCTTAATCTTGAACTATTAAAAGTTTGTTATTTATCATTTTTTGTTTCTTCAATTATTATTATTAATACTATACCTTTTTTAAAGTGATATTAGTAATTTAACTATATGGATAAAATTAAAACTTGCATAATAGAATTATGTAGCTTATGCCTATATAATATTGAAGTGATGGAAGAATGAGAGGAGGGAGGAGGAGAGGGGAGTAGAAACACCAGGTAAAAATCATAAATTAGGTTATTAATACTTTTTTACGGCGCTTACTCTCTATATATAAATAATTAGATTGTCAATAAAAATTAAGGGAAATAGAAACAAATATCTACTGTGGAAAATGTATATATTCTGCGACTACATATATAGGTCATTGCAATTCTCAGAAGATCATTCCATCTCTATGTGTACTATATGCAACATTTGGTGGACTGCATAATGGATCGTTATCTTTTGCAGTATAATATGGAAATAATGAAAGGAAAACCTTTAAGTTTCGTACAAAGCAATAGAACTGTACAATTTCGTGTTTCGTTTTATTTTTGCTTGTGAAATTTTATCCTTATGATTATATGCGTAATTATTAATGAAAACTATTGTTCATTTGAATGACTGACATCATAGCCTTGGCAACTGATCAAATTTAAGACTTATATACAGTCTATCAAGCCGAAAAATTCGAGTCTATTACTTTTATTCATATAATTATTCATATGCAGCTTTTACGTAACCTAAGTCACTGTTCGGCTGAATATAGCAAAAGAGAGAATGTTAGTCTAGAGTGTAAACTAAAGGAAAAACAAAAAAGAAGAATGACTGACATTCATTTAAATTAAAATGTATAAATAAAAGCAAATTTACAATATAAAAACGCAACAAATTGATCCATACAGAAGAAATATATCTGTTTTTCTTATAAAACTCTGTCTAGCCATTGTGAACTATTAACGCTAACATGTTTAATTAAACTTTTACAGACTTCTATATAGACAGTTCCTGTACATTTAGTATATTGCTGAGATTTATTTTTTTGCCTTGTCTATAAAAAATTTATTCGTGAGGTCACCTTATTCTTCCTTTTTTAATAAAATATTAGTTTTAATAAACTGAAGGATAGAAAATCAATTGTTTAATTATTTTTGCTCTATTTTTCTCTTTAAGATACGAAGATTAAGTGGTTTTTTTTACTTAAATTCGCTGTTTCTCTTTTTTTCATTTCGTCTTATTTTATAACTAATCAAAAAAGTAACAGAACTGAGAAAGATGCAAACTAATCCTTGACAGATGATAAATGAAAATGAATGTAGCAGCTCTGTAGTTGGAAAAATTCGGTAAAACTCATAGGAAAATGACTTCAAGATGTTTATGAGCTATAAAATCCATCTTCCTCGATACCTCTTGAGCTATGTATCGTCCCAATTGGGTTACTGAATCCCAAATAAAACCGGTAGGACCGTCCAGGGGATAAGAGAAGCGTTTTTTTTATTTAAAGCTTATCCTAATCGTTCGATACTGGCCTAAGCTTTTCACCGCTCTTAGCTAAAGGTCAAATTCGACGGAGTAGAACTGCCCAAACTGGCATTTTCGTGCAAAAGAATTTTTCAGTAGACCAACGCGTTTTGCCCTACCAGCTTATAAACTTGACATTCGCAGTCTAATTACACTGGCTTCTCATTCGCTACCTCATTTCTTTCTGCCCCCTTCCTTACCCCTTTTCTCTATCTTTCTTATTACTTTGTTTCTAACCCCCTCCCCCTCTTCATTTTTTTCCTCTTCTATCATTTGTTTCTCCCATTCCCTCCCTTATTCTTCACCTAGTTTATCTATCCATTAATCTCTTTCTTAATATATTTAACTGGCGTAGAGATCTAAGACCGCAAATCAACGAATAGATTATTCGTGTAGTAAATGAACAAAGTCTTAACGAGTATGGGAGAGAAAAGAGAAAAGAGTGAAAGCAGATGATATCTCAGCCATTAATTAATAAAGAAAGGAGGAAAGGAGAAAACGGAAGAAAAAAATCTTAATAAACTTACAATTCTTTTCGTTGTATTTATTCAATTTCTCTTCCAGTTCGGGCGGTAAAGGCATTTTTTTCTTTTGTAATTGTTTCAAATGTTTGACGCCTTCAAAATGTTGTTTGGCCTGACGTTCGGAATTTAATGTAATTTCGCAAGCTTCACATTTTACTGGTTTAGCGTTACTCGGAGCCTTCTGTGAGAAAGATAAGATATAAGAAAATATATATACAGTATATATATATATATATATATATATATATATATATATATATAAGTATAAATATTTGTATAAGGATAAAAATTAATGGTACATATTTTATTTGACTAAGAGAAAAATCGTTTCTTGTTAGATAAACTTAATAGAAGACATGTAAGGAGCTTCAAGAATTTGATTTATCAATAAAACTTCGAGTTAATTCTTCTGGGAAAACGATAGAAGACGCATATTCGTAAGGTTCTTAATACATATTCATCAATGTTTTACGTTGCATACTAATAAGTCCCTCACCCTCTCTCTTTCCTCTTAATATCTTTCTTCAGCACCTCCTCTTTTATTCTCTTAGTTTTTTTTTTTGAACTAGAGCTTTCACATCTCAATTTTTTTGCATCATATGGTAACACTACATTAGTTTATTGCCTCCCCTTTCTAGTCTAAAAGATACATAGTAACAATTATTTTCATTTCGATGACGTCACAACCAGTAACATTCCTACGTATACATCATTAAATTTTTCTTTTTCAACCGAGATAAATCAAGTCGGACCAGACGAAAATCGAATACAAATGTTTACTCGAAAGACGCGTTCGCCTGCGAAAGCTATACAAACTTACGCATCGCTGTTGTTGATTAAAAGACAAAGGAATAGCATGACGTCATAATCGGATATAATTTTTCTTACATTCTATTATTGTAGAGAAGATATTTTTCATCTTTTCACCTTTAAAATTTATTCGTTTATCTAGTTTTTTCTAGTTAAGATGTATAGAGTTTGGTCAATCATGCTTTAAATGCTACATGGCGCCTTAAGTCATTGGCAACCTAAATACCAGTTTTTATAACAAATTGACTTGCTTTAACGTTGACAGAAACCAATTTTCAGATGTAAGCCCGTAAACAGACCTATAATATAACTGTTTCTTCGTATAACTACTAACTCTCTTGCTGTAATGAATTTTATTTTGTAAATATATATATATTACTATATATAAGTTAAATTTATAATGTAATTTTCATATAACAATCACATAATGTCATTACTTTGAGTCTGCTTTTTTTATCGTTATTTAGCTTGTTTCATAGAGGATAAAAAGAAGGGGGTGGAGAGTGAGGAAAGGTGTACGAGAGAGAAGAAGATTTCAATTTAAATATTAGAAGATTAGAGCAGAGTCTGAGATAAAAAGTCTGACACGAGTACGTATTGTTCCCTCTCAAGATATTTTATACTTAACAAATATTGTAATTGAAACGAATATACTTTTTGTTAGATTAAATCCTGTTCAATAATTGTTATTATATTCATAATCTTTAGAAAAAAATATGAGATACAATGTATATTTATAGTAAATATAACAAACATTACGCTTCTAATAATCTTCTTTCTTAAATGTTTGTCCATTGTACTCTTTGTTTTTTAGTTATATTTAATACGTAAAAGGATCGTTAAACCCTCTAAAATTTTAATGTACACCCATATTTAAAGGAACAATGAGTTAAACACACCTCAATAGATGCGATATCCTTTATAAAGTATATATTATAGGAAACGCGATTTTTTTTATACTCCCAGATTAATAAAATAATTATCAGACGCCCGAAGGATAAATCTTTACGTTGTGTTTCTCCTTCTACAACCTTTCTTTATCTTTTCTGCTGGTTATTTTCTGCTATTCTCTCTCTCTGTCGTATAGTATTCAATTTTACATTAACCTATTTTACTCATCAAAATCCAGTTCATTTCCCTCCATTTCCCTTTGCGCATGCGTAAAAAAGGTTAAGGAGGGGAGGGAGAGGGGGAAGAAGCGAGGACAATATTTTTTTCAAGTACATAAAACGTTACCACTCGACGACAGAGAGTTTTTAGGAGCCAATTACACAATTTTTACTCCTCACTAATTAGACGCGGTCAAGCGGCTTCCTGGTTAGTCTTAATTAGAAACTAGGAGTAGCAATAAAATTTATAACAAATAATTTTGGTTCTTTTCATAAAAAAAGAAACTCATCCATGTAGTCTATCGCTTTTAATGCTGTTGCAGTAGAAATGCTTAATAAATCTTCGGTAGGCATATGTTTGTAATAAATGTTTGGCATCGGCTTCTTATATATATATAAATATATTTACAATGTTTACGTATTTATACATATTTTTTATATATTAAATTCGTTTTTATTAGCTAACGAATATGCGTCTTTGTCTTTTTCTTGATTTTTTTTGCAGTTTTAAGTTTCCCTTTTTTTTTAAACTTTACACCCTAAATATTTATTTATGGCCCCAGGATAGTTCGCATGTCTTCCATTAGTTTAATTACAATCTGTAAAGATCGCGTTTTGTAATTGGATCAGAAATATAGGTATAAAAATAAGAAGAGAAAATCAATGTTCTTTCAACCGTATAATTTTCATATAAAGGTGACGGATTATGAAAAAACAAATCTATCTAGTGTCATTTCTTTTCTATATTATAACACTCTCTTTGCTAACATTCTTTCTAGTTCACTCAATCTATTCTATCACACTTTTTTCTCTATCTTTTTTTTTTGTATCCCTCCTGACCCTTTCTTCTCTACTTCTTTTTTTTTGTTGCTTAAAATTTTAATAAATGAACACCCGCTATTCGTCATCTTAGGGAATTTGAGTGGCTCAGTGCCAAATTTATGAGGCTTCTTTAAAAAATACTACGTACATTTTATGCACTAAAGCATAAGTTATCACTACAAGAGAATTACCAATAAATAAATATAAAGGCTGTTTATATGATTATTACATATAAAAAAAAATAGGCGTATATATGCTGTATATACTATATATACTGCGTAGAGAGATACAAATATATGTACAGGATACAACGTATGAGGAATGAGTAAATAAAGACAGGGAACTTAGCATTAGTAGGTGCAGAAGAACAATAAAAATTTGGCGCATCGGCAAGTTTGTAAACACAAAGTGCAATTGAATACCAAATGTTTTGAAAACAATCTATAGTAAATCGGTAACGGAATCATAACAAATCATATAGTTTTTCCTGTACCCTTCCTTCTTTGAGAATCCATCCATCCATGTTTTTATATTTAAGATATACTCGGCCCTGCTGGATAGATTAGGCCTGGTTGTATTTCAAAAAAGATACGCTTCACCGATGGATGAGTAATGAATAATCAATTAGAAAAGTAAAAGGTTAGGGGTATATTCTTATCCGTTTTTTATAACGTAATTTACAGATATGTTTTATAAATGTATATATACAGTACACATGTTATAGTTACAGTATATGGTGAATATAAATAAGTTTTAAGTAGTTTGCGAAAAGTCATGTAGATTACTACTATTCAGTAGTCGAGGTAATCGGATAGTCCGATTCCATCCACTGTTTTTTGTAAAGGAAAAAGCTGAGTAATACGAATAAAAACCGATTAAAAGCAGGAAGAAATGAGGGTGGGAATGGTATTAGCCAGCTTTATCAATCAGCAGAATACAGGAGGGAGTCCGAAGGTTATTTTAAAAATTATGGAAGGAACTCTTCAAAAACTACATATAGCTAATCAAACAGTCAAAATATACAAACCAAAAATCTATTTGCCATTGCCAAATATGGCCATCCGGCAGTCATTTGAGCAGTAATTAACGGCGTTAACGGACTTCCGGCTGCTATCGGAACTAGGGTTCCATTGACGATCTTCCAGTAGACGACACTCATCTCTTTAATTAATATTCACGACGTCAACCTGTCGACAAATCCTTATTCTGTCAAGATGTTATACAACGTTCATCAATTTACACTCAAATAATTAACCTATATGTTCTTACCTGTTTTATCTATTAGTGGATAGTAAACATATCTTTTATACTTATAAAATAGAGTAATAGAAAATTACATAAAATTGGGTAAACGGCTTGGATATATAAGATCTATAAGGATTTACGGGTTCAGCGCAAATACATTACATATGGAGGCATGGTCTTTCTAAACTCTAAAGATGAATGCAACTGTGATGATAATTCATGACGAACCAGTACAAAGTCACATATTTGCATAAAAATCCTACCAGGTTTTATTTGAATAACATGATGAATTGAGTATAACGATTACAAGGAGGTTTTTTTTAGGTAAAAGATAATTATGTATACAGAATTCCTATCATGACTTTCTCTCTCTCTCTCTCTCTCTCTCTCTCTCATTTTCAATCTCTTCTCTCTTTTTACTATTTCAATCGGAATCTTATTCATTTGCTTTTAAATCTTCTTAAATGATAAAAAAAGAAACTTTTTTTTTATTTTTTTCTCCAAACAAACTTGGCTTTCCATTTCTTCTTTCAAGCTATATTTCGTAATAGTTATTATTACACGTCACTTCCGATTCTCGGTTTGTTCTTGCTTAATAGCATTAATGCAGGAACACAAAGAAAGTGAATAAAATCCGGTGAAAATATTAAGCTTCTTAGAATTAAACTATTTTTTTTTCTATTTCTCTTTGGCATAATTGTTTTTTTTAAAAAAAATACTAACACTAAAAAACTAGTAGAAATAGTGAAATTTTAATAAATAAATGAAATATAATAATAAAAAAGAAACATACAGTTTACCGTTATCAATCGTTGTTTCTTTTTTTTTTTTAAAAAACAACTCTTTAATAGCTCCAATATTATCCAATTTTTTAAAGGAATATGTTTAGAACATTGCCGAGAATGGTAGATATTTAGCTTAATAGCTATGAGAATACGTTGCCTGATTATTATCTATTCGTACTGAATCCTTATAAGATGAAATTAATGTAATTATTTGTAGAGAGAATTTTCACAATAGTTCACTCGTCGCTCCTCGTCTACAAACTGGCGGAAAAGGACGACAAACCTTTCACGAGGTGGCGCTTCTTTCACCCGAAATGTTCTACGGCGTAAACATTTTGCTACTTAACACCGCAAATAAACAGAGTACGAATTGGCGGCAGGATTCTGCTCTGGAAAACTAGTTCTCGCCTATTTTGTCTGTACTTGTACATAGTATATACAACAAGCTCTTCCAATTTAGTAATACATATAAAAAGTATATTGCTATAATTATAAACATTTTAATTAAATTTGTGCTTGATTTTGGATTGCGTTTAATTAATAAATTAATCTGCAAAATATGAGTGTATGATTATAATCATACTCGTTATATAAACAACCGGCAACATTCCTCTTCGCTCTTCTCAAAACTATGTGTTTACGGCAGAGGAATGCCGAATAATGATAAAACTGTCCCGCCTTATCGGTATTTATCGCTCTGCTTCGTCATTAACGGTTCGTCGAATTTTGTGGTAAATTTGTAGGTTTTTTCTCTTCCTCTCTCTCTCTTCCCTTTTCACTCTTTACCCCCTCCCAATCATGTCTCTCTCTCTCTCTCTCTTTCTCTCTCTCTCTCTTTAACCCTTTTTTCTATCGTATAAATAGAAAAACTATAGTCCGAGGCTGTTTTCTCCCGCCACTCTTTATCATTTAGCCTAGGGATAGGTAGTGATGGGTTCTCTTTGTAAATATTAGTAGGTTATTGAGGGAAGAAAATTTTCTTATCTTAAATATTTTTATTAGTATAAAAAAGAAGAAGGTTCACATATTTTTATTCTAATACGTTATAAAATAAAAGCGTCATAAATAGCGTTGTTGTGACAAGAGCGTGTGAAGTAGGGCTACATTTGAACATCTAAACCAGTCACGTGAAGCTATGTTGGCTTCAATCACAATTTTATACATTGATATTTGTCGCACTTAAATTTTTCTTTTAAACACCACGCGATCTTACACGCGCACCCAATTCATTCTATTTTAGAGCCAACTCTCAAAGCATCCTAACAAAAGATCATAAACACGTGACCAATAGCTTTTTTCCCTTTTCTATATTTACGTCGCCATGTTGCCTTTATAAGGACAAAAAGCCTGCCAGACATGACAAAATTTGAAATTATTTCTAAACAGACTAAAAAGAATTTATTTTCTTCATTTATAAAAGATAATACAACTATACGCGTCACGTGATGATATATTAGACAAACTCCTTACTTCCTTGGTTCTCGTTTCCTATAACCTGTAGTGCATTAACGCTCGTGTACAGAATTTCGTAAACATAACTAAACGACGTTCGTATTATAACGTATGATGAAGAAAAAAAAACATGTTTCACCATATTTTGCATTGTTTCTCTCACTCAACCATACCAGCCATTTACGTACAAGACTACTATACATACAGTATAACACTGAATCTTGTATTAATGAACTAAGAAACTTTTCCACGTTTACTTTGTTATTTTTTTTATTTTCTTTTTAAAAAGAGAATTTTTATCAAAGAAAATAAAAGAAGGAAAAAAATGATAAAAAAAATCAAAAACTTACGAAAAATTAAGAAAAAAGAGTTTTTTACGTTGTTAAGTAGATGTTATAAATGAAAGTTTTCGCATAAATACATATATATATATATATATATATGTATATTTCTGTCTGTTGTTATATATATATATTATATTAACTAATATAATGTCTATTTTCCTGTATAGTCAAAGAGTCGAGTTTCAATATGATTTCTGCTGCACGTAATTTTGAAATGCCAAAAGGGACAAAACCTTTCAAATTTGATCACATGACAATATATCTACAGTATATATATGTATGCCATATTTCTCTCTCCTCCCGTTCAAATAATTTTCTACTAGTAGTCATACAAAAAAAGAAGAGGGAAGAATAGTGACTGCCTAGGCCTAAAACTCTCTAGGTCGTAAATAACATTATAAGCGTGACGGTTTAATAAAATTGCATAGTTAAGTAAGTAACATGATGTGAGGAATGAAAGAAAAAGAATAGAGAAAGGAGGATAGGTACTAAGAATAAAAATGAAGATAGAGAAAGAGAAAATATAGAAAGAAGAGGAAGTTATATATGGTATTATAAAACAGAAAAAGGAAAAATTATAGAGAAGGAGATTTAAGTAGTCTGTAATTCCGTTTTGTTGTCGAAGTGGCGGGATAGATGCCTTTCTATCGTATCTGTTTTTCCTCTCTCCCTATTTACTTCATCCTTTTTTGTGTCTTCTATTCATGTTTTCTTTTTCTATTCTTTAAAATCTTTACAACCTTTTATTGATTGATTGAATACGAAAAATGTAAAAATTTTAACGGTTTTTATCAGACTCATGAAATTTTTACTAAGACAATTTCCGAATACGGTTAAATGAGCTATTGCGTGCTGAAAATTAACTGGCAATCCGGTAGGGAAGAAATAAGAAGAGATAGAATGAAAGAGGGAAAGAAAAATTGAAAATGTTCAACAATATTTTTTCTACTTTCTTCTTCTTCTTCTTCTTCTTCTTCTTCTTCCAAAGTAAAAATATTCAATCTCTTTAACTTAACCTTATTATTACTCTTCCTAGTCTTTGTCTCTTTATCAATTTTTATACAACTCGTCTCGTTCTAGCTGTGCAATCCTCCCATTCTCTTTTCTCCTTAGCTCTTTTCCTCTTCACCCTACATTGTCGTACTTTTATTCTTTAGAATTTATTCCTTATAGATCGAGCTTATAAAAGACATCATTGTCAAACGCGACATGAGTTTAACAAAGCTAAGATACGATTTTTGCGATTGTTGTGTAGGTAAAGTTGTACTTTAACAGATCTCCTCAACAAATGAAATAGCCTAAAACACCAATTAAACTCAATCATTAATCTCTTTAAATTGGTTCGATATTTCCATTTTTAGACATTAACACTTCATACAAAAATATATAAATAAGAAAAGGAAACAAAAATTTAATTGAACTATCCATTGTTTATTTATTATTCATTCAGGAAAAAGGAGAAATTAAATTAATTAAAGCAGAAAGGAATTTCTCTTCTATTTATATATACTTTATTATATACTGTACTGTATATATATATATATTTATATGTATATCGTCTATATATATATATATATATATATTGTATATGTACATGTATCAAAAAGCTGTATTTGTAAAGGATTTGTAAAATACACGTGTATGTTTTGTTTTTTTTTTTGCACCATTCTTTCTTCTTTTTCTTTCTTTCTTTCTCTCTCTCTCTCTCTCTCTCTCTCTCTCTCTCTTTATCTTCCATTCTCCTTTATAACCAGTATTTAAACTAATATTCAGCCTATTTGATGAAATTGAAAGAACGATTCAATTTACATTTTTTTATATGCCAACAATATTGATAGATTTAAAAATATTGTAAAAATATCTATTTATCTTATGAATACTCTTGAATTCATTCCAGAATGTATAAAAAAATGTATTAAAAAGTTCAAAGTATAGTTTACATTGTAAATTATTATGTATTTTAATTCAGGAAAGAACTTAGATGTCTTAATAAATACAAACTATTGTATTCATAATTCATAACAAGGCTTTTGTTGAGTAAAAGAGAAAGGGAGACGAGGACGAAAAGGATGCATATTCATATCTGATTACTAATAGTTAAAAAATATTCTTACAGCATTTTATAATTATAATAAAAAAGCTTTAATAATAGAAATATCTATTTTTAGTAACAAGCATACAGACAATTTTTTGTGATAAGAAGTTCAATTAAAAAGTCTTTGGAGAATATGGAAATATCTTCTCGATTGCTTAACTGCTACAATTTTTTAAAGCCAATTTTGCAATCACTAAGAATGTTTATCTTTCGTTCTTTTTATCACTTTTTTTATTCTCCTCTTTCCCTTTAACAGTGTTACTCATTCATTCATCCACTCTCCTTCTCCTTCTTTCTCTCTCTCTCTCTCTCTCTCTCTTTCCCTCCCTCTATCTGTCTATACATACATACATACATATAGATAAATATACTAATATACAGTATATATATACTGTATAAATCTCTTTTTATCTCTTACTATCTTATTCTCTTGTATCTTTCTCTATCCTACCATTCTTTCATCTATCCAAGAATAAAAATTCTATTTTTCTCTCAGAAATAAATGGAATAATTAAAATTATGCGTTTGAGCACTTCATATATTCTCAAAAGACTAAATACAGAGGCTAAAAGGAAAACGCTTTGGTGATGATCCATATGTTCCTCCTTGGTTCTTTCCTCAGATTATCTCATTCATGTTTTCCCTCTCTTCACTTCCTAAACAGAGTTAGATGAGTGAGATAAAAAGTAGATGGTTTGAAATTTTAAACCATTTTAAAGTAATAATAATAGTGATAAAACAGTAATAATAACTAACCACCGAAGAAAAGATCTATGGTTGAAAGAAATTTATATTCCCATAACTTAAGACGTAACTGGGATGTGTGAATAGATTGTTTATTACAGCGAGAAAAAGTAGTGTCAACAATCGCAGGAAAAATTACTTAATTTGCTTTTAGGAAAATGGAACGTTTATTAATCACCAGGGAACGAATTTCATACTTCGTCTCCTATTCCCTTTCCTCCTATATTGCCGAAAGAAAATTTTAGCACCATTTCTCTTCAGAAACTCTTCGCTCTCCCTCCCCCCTACCCCTTTCCCGATATTTATTTTATAAACACCGTTTACTTGTTAAAAGGTCGAGAGTTGCTTAACGTAACAATTAGTTTACGGTTTAAAGAAAAAAGGAGGTGGATGGAATGGTATTCCAAAACCAACTAACCTTCCGAAGTTTTCACTAAGCCATTCTTATTAAACATTGAAAAACTATTTCATCTTTCCGCCAATCGCAAATCGGAGTTGGGGCCGGAAACGAGTTCTGGATGCAAAAAGTCAAACTATTTTCGTTGAAGGTTAGAGATAGAGATAGAGAGAGAAAGAGAAAAAACGAAAAAAGTTATAAAGATAGGAAGCTAAATTATAAGAACGACTAGTTTGACTGTCAAGGGAGCAATAGACGAAAATAAAAAGAAGGAAAATAGGTATTTAGAAGGTCTGCTGCTTGTTTAATTTTTTATTTGTTTACCCTTCTTCTTTTTATCTAAGAATATATGAAAACATGATGAAAGAATAACAAATTATATCAGCGAAGAATATTTTTTCCTTACTTTTTCCATCTTCTTTTTCAACTTTTTTCTCTTCTCTATCCGTCTATTTTTTTTTTAAATTCCTTCTTCTTTTTTTTTTCACTAACAAAATCGATGCAAATGTTGTTACAGAAAATGTCTATAGATTCATTTTAGTAGGTTGAAATTAAAATTTATAGAGCGTCTGCTGGAGAGGAGAAAGATTTGCTTTCTTTTATCATTTCGACCTTCGTTTGAAATCTATTCTTTTCGAAGATTAAAGAACAGTGTGATTAAATATAAGAAAGTAAAATTACGAATATATACTAAAATATATGATAATTTTACATACGCTAACAAATTCCAAACTGCACAATAAGTGTTTATTATATATTAACCAACTGTTTTAAATTTATTAAATATTTAAGATATTTGGATGTTTAATTGACGAGGTTATCTAGAATTTTTTAAAATTATTGATTAATGTAAAATTTTACTTTAAATCTTTACTTTCTGATATTCTTGCTCCCTCTCTCTCTCTCTCTCTCTCAGTCGAACTCTTTTTTCATCCAGTCTTTCTTATTTTACGCATTGCCCTCAATTTGAAATGAATATCGGTGTTTTTTCAAAGTTACCTCTGCAAATAGTTGATAAAATATGTTAATATGTTTCAAAGTAATAGTCACGTAGAGCAACGCCATCTCCTGATAGATTTTGATTTGTTACATTCTTGGGACAAATTTCCTCATAACTGGAACCATAGCTAACAGCAAATGTTAGCTTAAAGCGTTTGAACGCAGTATTTCAGTTTCGGTTTACTTGATAAAGAAAATAAGCCCATTTCCTTTAACCACAAAAGCTAATCGTCGTTACATTCTGATGATGAAAAATGTGGTGACTAGATCAAAAGACAGTCGTAAACCAGAGTATATATAAAAAAAAAGCTCTCCAAAGAGATTTACATATTCATACCTTACGATCTTTAAATATTTTAAATTGAAGATATATTTCTCTCTTTTTTTTTAAAAAAAAATGAAAAACTAATATATTTTTGCAAAATTTTTACTCAACTAGAAATTGAAAGTTACAGTAAATGTGATAAATAAAAGACATTGATAATGTTTATATTATACCTTTCAATTAGATGACAAGATGTTTTTTTTTCTATTTCAAATTAGAAAAATCATTCCACTAGATTGATGGATGTAGAAATTCACTGCAGAAAGTTGGAATTTAGAGAATTTCTACCTCTACGTTTTGTATATACGCTGTTGAAGAGAGTTTCCTTCCTTTTTCAATACGATAAGGTAGGTTAGGGAGATGGGGAATTTTCTATCCTGTTTTTTACTGACCATCCTCTGACCTTTATCTTATCTGACATAGGGTATAAATTTTTGCAAAGAATTCTTTCTCTATTGCCCTTTATTACTCCCATTTGTTTCGTATATTTTTAGTTTACATATGAAATAAAGAAGAGAGATGAGGGAAAAATGTTTAGAAAAAAATCGATCAACTCGATTATTCCTTGAATATTTTATCATCTTAAACGACTAGTTATATTTTTTTTGGCCTGTTTACCAATTGTTGGCGTGCATAATCTTTCTTGCAAGTTTATCATAAATACTGTAGTATTATGTGGTTGCTAGATGTTATTTCTACCTTTTCAAATAGAAAGAAAGACAAATGGCGCCATCTATTTTATAATCAATTTATTGATGTTTATTAGACATTTTTAACATTTTCATCAAAGTGTGTACAATTAAAAAAAACAGTAACTTAGCTATTGTCATAATAATAAGATTAATAGTAATAATTAACACTTAAGTATGTCTTTCCTTGCAAAGTAATAAATAAAAATTTACATGAACTTCAGCGATTATCAAAATTATTTTATAAAAAATCTTTAAAAATCGACTTATTCGCAATATAAACTGGAATATTTGTTTGGACAAATCATCATATAAAAATCAATTTATCTGTCAATGTAATATAGATTAGTAAATTATTTTCTTCTAATCAATTATAAAAGTTTTATACCCAATCATAGATATGGATAGGTGTTGTAAACTTCTTCAACAACATCGAATCCTGGTTCGTAATCGACAACTGGAAAGCCGCTTCTCGTTGATAGCCTTGAAATTGTCGATGGTACTCTAGATGTCTAAGATTATTTTTTTTTAGTGAAAACAAAATTAGATTATCTAGAAAAATTTAGCGTATGTTTTTTTTTTTTTAAAAAAAATATCTTTAAAATAAATCTAATCAATTGAATAAAATTGAAAAAATATTCCTGATTGGATTTGTTTATCCTATATTCTTACACTGAATGAATAATGACTAGGAGCTAAATAGGGCCCAGACATCTGAAAAATATTTATATATTAGCCTCTATATACCACACAAATGCGCGCGCACACACACACACACACACATATATATATACACACACTTCATCTCTGTATTTATTGCCTTTATATACATATAGGCAATACATACTTATATATAAATAAGTCGTCTATCTAAATTGAAATCTCTCTTACAATTCACTAAATTCCTTAAGGGAAAGTCTACCTTTCTGGAATAGCAATAGAAAATAATTATCGACATAGATATCAATATAATCACAGAAGAGAGAAGAATAATCCACCAGAGTGATGTGTACTCTCCATCTTTAGTTTTAGCTGTATAATAGTAAAAGATTTAGAGTAATTAACAAGACTATTTTTAATGCGTTGTATTGTAAACCTGAGATAGCTGATACATTTCAAATTATCTCATAGAAAATAAATGATCGTCTAAAAACGAACAAACAGTAGAAATTATTAAAAGTCAAAGAGTTATATTTTAAAACAGAACAATATCTTGAATTTGAATCTAAGCGCCAACTTTCTAGAGCAGTTTATGAGATGCAGTTATGATCAACACAATAGGAAAATTGTAACTTTTAATAGTTGAAAAATATTTATTTAATTTCTAAACGCCATGTTCAGTAGTAAAAAATAATTAAAGCCTCTCAACATTAGAAATTAGAAAAAAATTAAGTTATTGAATAAGGAACAATACATATATATATGTATATATACAGTATATATAGTGTGTATATATACACACATATTTGTAAAATTATTATATACATAACTGCAATGCATTTTTTGTATGCTTATGGCAAGCTTGCAAAAAAAAAGATGAAGTAATATTTCAACATATGAATTTTAAAAATAGCAATAGATATATGATTCGAAAAGTTCCAAAGAAAGCTGGAAAACAATAATGAGCTTTTCACATGTAAGAAACAAAGCTACGTTCTCAAATTTTAAACACACAATGAGTATAACATTGTTGAAAACAGTTTCAACTTTGAAAAATTGCATACTACTCTATATTTTTTTGTAGACCCACGTAATACTTTACAATTCAACTGATTTGAACACAAGCAGTGTTTCAGTAAAGAAAGGAGTGTACTGAAAAACCGTAGAGTGAACAATTTCGCAGTTTTACACTTCCGTATCGTTTCTACCACGTCTTCGACCAGTTCCATACTCCTCGATGAATGAGCCATCTTCATTAAATTTAGAGGAATCTGGTTCACCGTATTCCAGCATTGAGCTATCATCATCTTCTCCCAGACTAACAGTGGAATTGAGAGAAGCCTTGGAGGACATTCGAGGCTCCTCACTAAAGCAATAACTATTTTATGCAACTATCAAGACAACTCTTTAAAAACTTACGCTCTTTGATAATGTTTAAACTCTTCATCTCGCAATTCCTTCTCTGGATCAAGACCTTGTTTTCTTTCGAGCTTATCAATATTATACTCATCTCCTTTGTTTCGCTATTTAGACAACGAAAAACGTTATTGCTTAAAGATTTAAAACCTATGACTTCAATGACTTTTACCTGCAGGTACAAGCAGATAACAATGATAACAACGACCACAATTATGATAAACAAGATCACTAAGAGAATCCACCATAAATTAGCCAAACTAGATTCCGCTATCTCTGAAATGCAATATACATAGCTCAGCAAAATATCAAACAACAAACGTTAAAGAATTTTATCAATGAAAAACAAGTCCTTCAATAAATCTACAACATTAGATTATCGAAATGTACCGTGAAAAAAGTTAGAAAGAATCAACAACTTGCTATATTTCTACTAAAAATAACTGAACTATTTGTTTACGAAGAGTATTGTTTAAGAAAATTGATACGCTACTTTAGTATAGCAAGAAAGTAGAACTGATAGAGATGTAAAGAATGTTTACTAGAGAAAGCTTACAAGATTTATTATTGTGTCTAGGTATATTCTCAAGAAAAATAAATTTGATAATTTTTTACAACTTACTTCCTGGCTCTTTACTAGTCGTTCCCAAAACGGATAATGTCATCGATTCTGATATCAATGTTGTCACCCCATCATTTACTTCCAAGTGATATTTTCCCTCATCCTCAAACTGAATTTTTTCGATTTTCAAGATGCAATCTATTACATCACGCTCATAATAGTCAACTGTAGGCTTATATTCTCTATCTTCAGAGACTTTCTGTTGTAGTAATTATTGTTATTAAAAAAAGCAACACAATGTTATAAATTCTTATTTAATTTACCTCTCCATCTTTAAACCATTGGCAATTCCTTTCAAATAGATTTCCATGTCTTAATCTTACTTTTATAGTTGTGTCCTCTCCCAGAGCAAGGCTATAATCTTCAGGTTGATTTTCAATTATCATATTGCCTATACAGCAAAAAAAGTTAATTTATCAACCATTTTCATAATTAAAACACTAACGGATAATGTAGATAGTATAAGCATAAGAGTCGACGAAAAATTTCTTCTTGTTACCATCAAATCCTTGCAAAATATTCTCAGCATAGCATATAATGGTTGTGCTCTCAGTTATACGTTTTCTATAGGTTATTTCTCCTGATTCAAAACTTTCCTTTGGTTGCTCATCTGCAAACATCATTTTCAGAATAATATATCATAGCTTACAAACAAATTTAGAAATTACCTGAAACATACGGACTTGAACCTGAACCAAATTTTATTATTCTCCAATACATTTTGATTTGATTAGTCCCTTTAGCTTTGCAATCGATAGCAGCGTCATATTCCTTTACTTTAACAATAACATCTTTTTGCTGCTTGGTGGTAATCTTCACAGGCTCTATTTTTATTAAAAAAATATATTTCAGGTTTTATAAGGAAAGTGTATACCCACCAAAAATTCGAACGACAAAAGGCTTTTCATAAACCTTGTTATTTTTGTGAACTTTACAATCGTATTTACCGGCAGTACTTTTGCTTACTTTATCTGTAATAATTATAATATAATAAAATATTTCAATTTTTAATTTAAACTTACTTATGTACATAACCCAGCCACTTTTATCGAAAGTGTATAAATCTGAATTTTGAATAGCTAATTTGCCGGTTGAGTTGTACCATTCAACTGCAACTCTATCGGATTATCGAGGTATTATTAATGTTCACAATCTAAATAAAAATATATACTTCTCAGTGGGAATGCAGACTAGCGGAACACCATATTGTCCATTATAAACTAGTTTATCAACACTATCACCTTCCGAGGGAAGCAGTTCGAGGTCTTTGGATTTGGCATTGATATCGTTATGGTATTTCACTCCAAGTTTTAAAAATCCGAGAATGCTTTGAGTTCCTATTGGTTTATATACAATTGTCAAAACGAAATCTGTAGCTTTGACATGTGCGAAATCTGCTTGTATGATATAGACTTTTCCAGCTAAAAAACATGTGTTATTCAGTAAAAGCACTGTCATTTTACTTTGAAACTTACTTGTGGGATCAACGGCAACACTGTCTTCATATTTAACAGTTACAAGTTCTGAATTTACAAACTTTTCGCTACGAATTTGAAAAATACAGCCTGTAGCGGCTGCACAATTATATTTGTCAATCTGTGCTTCAACAAATTGATTTCTCGTTATGTTAGTAATTTTATCAGGTAGCAGCATTTTTTGACCCGGTTTAGAAGCTGTAATTTAAATAAAATATGTATATAATCCCTCTTCCCTATCAGTAATTTACGGCCGAGTAAATGACTTACCACTGGGTAAAACTCGAATTTTCGTTGTTGATACAAAATATTTAACTTGACCAAATACCCCAAAGGAAGCCATACACCAAGCATAACCTTTATTTTCGAATTTATTTTCAATTTCAAACGTATTAGACGCTTTTTCATCCAAGTGAATTTTATTTTTATTTCTGACAGGATCGATGGTAGGTGCGTCATAGTTAAAAGCTATTTTATAAATTCCAGTTCTGAAGTTAAATTCAATGTTTAAAAGCTTTATAAGACAAAATAAATCGAATATACCTTGCATCCATTCTAGCATTACGCTGATTCCAAACGAGTGAACATTTCAACTTTGAGTCGTTGTCTATCATAATAACTTCATCAGAATTTGATTTAATGGTAGGTGCTATAGGGCCTTCAGCCACTAAAATAATAATAATGGCGATCTTTTAGAATATTCTTCATTTAATAATAGAAAAACTTACGAATGGTAATCACCATTGCAAAACTCACTAAGCTGAAACAAAATAAAGTACTATAAATATACAGTAGCGTCATTTATTAGCTAGTATAGATGATATTGTTTGCAAATATGGTAAAATAAGTTATCGTACATGTTCAATAAATATCATTATAGGGAAATTGATGTAACTTTTATACTAAGCTCAAAAGAGAAATTTATCAATCTAGAATTTCAAGATATACAAGAATTCCACAGTAAGCTTATTTTACAATTACACATACATATAAAATTCATGCTATTTAGTGGAAAACAATGAATCATTTTCCATCTGACTCAAACAGTACTAGAGCTTTACTAAGCGAAATATATGGCAATTATTGGAAAACAACACCTTTTAAAGCTATTCACTTTTATTAATTTAAGTCAGTTTGTCTAATCAGCCAGCATTAATATTTTTATCAATTTTTATTTAATATTTGAGCGTACAAATCCAATACAAATTATAGATATTTTCAAACTGTCTAGCCGCTGTTAATTACATTTCTACCAATTAATAAAAAGATTTCCGGGCATTAAACAATGATGGCATCAAAAAGTTGTTAACATACGTATGCATAGATTAAGTTGAGAACACTTTAAACAGTTGTTAAGAGATAAGGCGCTAGATCACGCTCTTTATCACACCAAGTAGCCCCAAAGAATGATAAATGATATGTGTAAATGATAAAAAACAAAGATTTTTATAATAATATTTACGCAGCTTTTCTCAACCTGCCAAAAGTTGTAAAACGGGACGATACGAAAGATACAAGGTCTATTCCTTATATAGGAGCGAAATCTTCCTAGTCAATTTCAATTGTTTTTATCTTTACAGACTACCAATTCAAATATGCCTAGGTATATAGCAAATATATACGAAATTCAAACAATTCAAATAACACTACTTTTTCATTAGATTTGTGAAAATGTCGCTATACAATAACTATATATTCCATTATATCCGCATAGTATTCTAGTTTAAAACCTTTCGTATTAGTAACACATTTTTAAATCTGACTAGGTAAAAAAATTCCCCTATTCAAGCGAAATAATAGTTCGCAAGCAATGGAATGTTTTAACCTCTGGCAATAATTAATAGAGCTTTAGGACATGCTAGATAAATGAAAAATCAAATCTCTATTATTCTAACCCTTCTCACCTGGAGAAAATTTCATGTTTAAAAAACTACCGCTTTAACAAAAATATACCGCCATATTGTAAAACTAATGCATTCCTTGTAAGCCTAAGTTTTTATAGATTTAAATGAAAATTTAAAGATTACAAACCATCTAAGTAACATTTTAGTTTCCTAGTGTAGTAAAGTATTTCGAACGAAATAGTAATGTTTCACGTAGTTATTCAGTATTCGCTAGAGAAAATAGTCAAGGTATACTGGAACAAGAATCGACTGGTATGTTATCCCGCACCCAAAAGTATCTACCCTAAAATGCAAACAATCTAGAGACCGGTAGGAGAACCGGTGAATAATAACCGGCCTTCATTGGCTTTTAGAGGAAGTGGTAGGCCTACTCGACCTAAATGAATCGATGGGGGGTATGGTTTAGTGAATCAGCAATATGAGTTGTATGACTTATCAAAAATTCTTCAATACATGCATGAATATTGACAGAAATTTAAATTTTAATATATATTGTATATTTGCGTCATCCTAAAAAAATGGTATTCGATCTCGTTTTCGATTTGTCAGTTTTAGTTGATGAATTGATCTTTCTTAGAATAACAGTTACGAGTAGATGGTGTAGCCATTCACAGATTACGTAATAATCAGTGGGAGCGCGTATAGGAGCTGTTACGGCATGGTTCCGCTTAAGTTTATTATTCATGCCTAAAGAACCGGACTTTCTGTTAGCAGGTCTATTAGAGAATCTAATGGCTAACATATATATGAATTCTATTGCTCTTTACAAAAGAAAACGTCACCAGAAGTAGTCTCTGGATAGCAAGAGAGGAAACTAAAGCAGAAATGAATTTTTATATCTAAAAGAGGGAAATCCTTACAAACTCAATCTTTTTAATCAGAATATCTTATTGGCTTTTTAACCGATTTATAGCCAACTCAATGCAATTATAGTGCAGATTTCCTTTGCTATAGGCCTAGATGATCTTTTATTTAACCAGGATGTGTAAAAATGTGATTTACGCAAGTAGTAACGGAATAAAGATAAGGGAACCTAAGACGCAAAAGAATCTATGTTTAAGGGATAAGCAGATAAATAGGAGTGTGTGCGTGTGTGTGTGTATGTGTGTGTGGAGGGGTAGGTGGTTAAATTCTGGATTCTTCTATAAATATATAAGAAAAAGAATAATCATTAAGTATATGCATTTTTAATATTTACTTTGAATTTTTAAATAGAATATATACTTTATATAAATTTATATATATAACAAATGCAGTATATATTCTGTGTATGGCTTCTCAATGGCAAAAATGTCAGTCTTTGTTAAAAAAAAAGAAAAAAAAGGAACTGCTAAGAAAAAGTCGCCTATGGATTAAACAATATGACTTTTCCTACAGCCTATTCATGAATACTGTTTTTTTTTTAGAAATGTTAAGAAAAGGAAATGGGTTTCATGTTTTATTATTACAGCACTTATGCCTCAGTCGAATATAGTATTTAACTAGTTAGTGCCTAGTGTTTAACTATAGTTTTTTTTATTCTACTTATGCGTATTTTGATAGCTTTGTGAATCCGTAAGGAATGGAAGATGTTTTTTTTTATATAAATCTATTCCTCTGTGGTTTTATTTATATATCTAATCTTTGTTTTTCAATTATTGATACTAATTTAATACTAATTTTAGTATATTGTTTAAAAAAAATATATAATACAGAATAATATAAAAAAAGGACATGGTAACTTTATTGCTAAATGATCCATAATTAGTTCAATTCTGTCGAGGAATTAGAGAAGCGTTATTATATCGCATGACTTGACTGTATTTAACTTGGTTAGATTGGTGAAGCGGACTGGGGTGATGAATTTATAAAAAAAAAGAGAAAGAAATACGAGCTGAGAACGTGTTTATCTTCTAAATTAGTAAATAAAAAAAGAGAAAGAAGATAAAGAGGAGGTTAGACTATCTGTTTAAAGATGATAATTATTAGCCTTGGTCCGCAGACAATAACGGAATTAACAGTAGAATACGACAATTTGGTGGCATTTGCCCTATGAATACGTTTGTAGAATTTGTAGACTTTAGACCCAATTCTAGGGTAGTATCGACAAATCTCTAGTGTTACCATTATATTTGATTTACATTTTCTTAAAAACTTAAATAATAAACAATCTAAGCTGATTAAATTTCCTTAATACATAAAAACAAAAGAAACTTTAGTCATATTAAAACATAATGATGTATGTTAAATTGTAAAATATACTGTAACAAAGCAATTTTGTTTGCTTGTAGATATATCTCAATCCCTTACTAAGCTTTGAATCTAACTATAAAGCCGAAACGAATAAAACATGCAATAAATTTACACATCTAAGAATATCTATAGAAAAGCCTATTTTCTATTAATACATACTAATATATACATATATATTTAATAGTTATATATAGCATTATGCTTGAGTTTCTATCAACAATTCACGAATAGTCCAATAAATATTTCCAAGGAAACGAGATTTGCAAGATTGGGTAAATTATTGGTTATTTTTGTCCTCGTGCTCAAATGAAGTTTGACGAAATTCTTAGTGGAAGGTACTGACGAATTGAAAAGGGTAGATTTTTTCATTTAAACAAAAGGCACATATGTATAGAAGCAGATGAAGAGAAAGTAATAAGGGGAAGAAGAAGAAGAATTAGGAAAAAGTCTTAATAAAAGAATGTATAAAAAAAGGAAGTGAGGGAGGGGACTAAGAGTTATCACAAATTTGTTTTCTAAGAAAAATCAATGGCAATTTTAGAAAATATTGCTATTTATTTGAAAATAACCGTAAATTTCTTTCATTATGATAAAATGTAAAATTCTTAGAGGTTGCTACCTTATCCCTTTTATTCCAAAAGGATCATCTCACTGCCTACAGATCTCTAAAGACAAGGATTATACATCAGAAAATGTCTTAGAAGCTAATTTATAATACTCATGTTATAAAACCTTGGTAGCAGAGCTATGTGTGCTACTACCGAAATTATAAATTGATCAACTACAATAATACCTACTAACGACTGGTAGATTTACCGTTTAAAGTATATAATTTACAGCTATTATATAATTTGATTGTTTACCCTCATCAATGAATATTAAAGTTACAATAGCTCTTGGTAGTTATCTTATTATCTTCTCTCATCATTCATTCTCTTAATACCAATCTCGATTGTTTTTTAAGAGATCGCATTAAATTCAAATAATCATTTTTCTTTCTTTATGGAGGAATCGTTGGCTATTGGTTAACTGAGACAAAGCAATAACTCTGAAATATTATATTCCTTTTGATATAATTTAATTTTTTATCTATACGAATCTTATTATCATAACATTTTATTTATTTTAACTATATCTCTCCATCTCTCATTGCTAAGAAAACCTATTTAATTATTCTCTTCAGCTCACTTATCATACGAGTTCATTCTTAAATACTACAACTGGGCAACAAGTGTCTCCATCTATTGTTTTATATAATATGAGTTTGTGGTAGGATAAAAAGTAAAGTAGGCTTTTTTTTCCTTTGACCATATCAACATCAAATACTCTTTTAACAAATTATGTAAGAATATGTGTATAATTTACTTCGATGATATTTTAAACTGTATTTTTAAGAGCACGTCAAACAAAAACGATTCGTTATCAAAATAGCCAAAAAAAAAAAAAACAGAAGTCTATTTACAAAAACCATCAGTCTTCGTTGACTTGCATAAAACGCAGCCGAATAAACAAGTATAATACATGTATCAGATTGTCAAAATAATCGAAATAATTAAATTATTAATGTAATAATAAAAACAATAGTCTTTCAAGCGGACTGCGAATGTAAAAGTGCCGAAAGTTTTGTATCAGAATTTTCGGAAGAAACTACGACCGGCAAGGATAACTGTCCATCCAAACTCGAATGCTGTTGTTGCTGCTGCTGTATTTGGATTGCAACCTGGGAGACAAGTTGCGATGCTGCACCCATTCCCCCCTGTTGCGTATTGGAAGACTCCGATTTTGTAGTGAAACTATTACCGTTGGCTGCCAAACTAGCAGCAACAGCGGCAGCTAATTGGGACGGGGGATTAATTCTCTTCTCTTTTTGCCTCCTATTACAGAACCAAACTCTGACTACTTCCTTCTCCATACCAAGAAGATCAGCTATTTGTTGAATTTGTTCACCAGTAGGTTTCGGATTTCCATTAAAGTGCTTCTCTAGAGAAATTCTGGCTGCTGTATCGATACTCGTTCTTTTTTTCCGCCTCCTTGATACAGGAAGAAAGACGGCATTTTGCTGATCAGCATCCATACTAACTACATTATTTTGCTGATTCTGATTGGCTATTTGAACAGACTGAGCTGTTTTCAGAGCTTCGGCATCTTGTAACCACTTCTGTAACATTGGCTTTAATTTACACATATTCTTAAAACTCAAATTAAGAGCTTCAAATCGGGAAATGGTTGTTTGGGAAAAATCATTCCCATACATTTTTCCCATAGCGATTCCAACATCTCCTTGGGTATAACCGTGTTCAATTCGCCGCCTTTTAAAATGTTTTGCGAATTGCTCAAGTTCTTCTAAATCAATGTTCTCTTCCTGTAAAAAACAAAATTCTTAAAAAAACTCTTTTCTTTTTGAAAAACACTTACTACCGGAGGTAGATTCCTTAAAGAGCTGGGAGTAGATGGAGAGGCTGGTGTCTGTTGTGGTGTTGTTGGCAGAACAGCGACTGGTGTTGCCTGTGTGTTTGATTGAGTCGAAGAGACCATTTGGGATGCCTGTTGGACGGTCTGTACAGCGTTGATAACTTGTTGAGTGGCGAGAACAAGTTGCGGTTGTGCGCCACCAGGTGGTTGAATAAGTAAAAACTGCTGGCCTTGCGATGGCTGGGCCGCTACTGTCAGAGTAAAAATATATGATCAGAAAATGAATTAGAAAATGTCGCAAAGACTTAGGAACAAACCGGAGGCTAATTGAATTTGTTGTTGTTGTTGCTGCTGCTGTTGTTGCTGCTGCTGTTGTTGTTGTTGTTGCTGCTGCTGCTGTTGGTGCTGGTGTTGTTGGTGTTGTTGTTGTGCGGTGGCATTGGAAGTAGTTGTCGTCGTATTGCTTGGCTGATTCGAATGAATCGAATAAAGTACTATGGGTGGCGATGAGGTTACTTGAACAATTGTTGGGGTCACTCCAACTGTGGAGGTCGCCTATAGGGACAAATTGACCATAACTATATTCAAGTAACAACAAAGTATTAAAGAATCTTTACCGATTGGCTTGTGATTCTTTAATTTTGAGCAAGATAGTTTTTAATTTACTTTATATAAATATCAAAATGTAATTTTTATATTTAAAAATGTGAATCATAGTATATTGAGAAGGAAACTAACCATATGCTCTATTCATTGTTAGATAAAGAGGATTGAACATAAAATAATTTATAAATAAGAAATTTGCTTATGTCTTAATTGAGAGAAGTATATTTCTTTTTTGTTATTATCATTTGCATCCTATACAGTACATCTGGACATTAGGCCCATTAATCTTCTTTAACAAGATTATTTTCATTTATAGCAATATAATAAAAAGTAAGTTAATATAAAAATATGGACTTACTATCAAAGGATAACTTGAATCGGAGTCTGTTTTAACGATAAACATGGGAAATTTTCCAACCAGTTTATTATAAATATTTTGACCTTTTTTGTCCTTTCTTGTGTAATTTAATCACTTATTTAAATTGAAGTAATATTATACTGTTTGAAGAAATGTTGATTTCTAGATATGCACTAAATTCCTTCCCAATATCTCTTATATGTCAATAAAATTTTGTTGGAAATGGCACAGACTATTTGTATAATTTTCATGAATAAATGTTACAAAGTTATAACCCCCAAAAAAGTATAGCCAATTAATTCAATATTGGATTTAAGTTCCTATTCACGTTTTTATCCAATGTTATATAGAGAAATACAATAAATCAAAAATAAACCAACCTGATTGACAGTATTCTGAGCATTTTGAGGGGATAAAATATTAACAGCATGCTGCAGTGAAGGTTGTTGAATTTTTTGTTGCGTATTGTCTTGTTGCAATTGCTGTTAATGAATATTCATTAGGGGATTTTTAAATTTGCATATGTTTATTACATAGATTTTACTGATAATAAAAATGAATATAAAAGTTAAACATTAACTGATAAGCAAAATCAAAAGAGTTTTTACCTGAGCTTGAACTTGCTGATAAGCAGCGAGTAGCGTCTGGAACTGTGCCTGCGAAAGCAGCATCGTAAATAAAAATGAAGCCTCGTAACGCCTAATGAATAATTCATCTCATTATCAAGCGCGTGTTGTATAATGAAATAAGCGAATAAGAATAATTTGCGATATTTATGCTGGCGCCAACGTCGCGCTTAATAATTTGTTCAAAAAAAACAAAGTTTGAGATGAAATAAATTAATGCAAAAATGAATATTCATATTATTAGCATTTTTTTTCTTTTACATTTTAGTGGTATAAATTATACTTTAAATTTAAAATAAATCCTCTAGTATTAAGTTATGTAGCAAATAGAACTTCGTTGATGTACCTAATACCAGAGGGAGTAACAGTTTTCTTTTTTCTAATGATTTGGAGAATGAAACTTTCCAAAGATTAATTTAGCATCAACTTACCGCCTGCAAAGCAGCTGTTAAGTTTGAATTATTTGAAGTGGTATTAATATTGCTGTTGGCAACGGTGGTACTCAATTGGGGTGCACTTTGAGTTTGCTGAGTGACGACACTTGTACCCTGTTGTTGAAGGAGTTGAACAGTCAAGGCTTGCTGCAGTTGTTGCAATTCTTGGGTAGATATTTGAATATGGCTTCCTTGAGGTGTTCCAACAGGAATCTATACAATGAAATAAATACAAATTAAACTATTGTTGTTCTTTTTATTGTGGTGGGCGCGCCTTTTAACTGATAGCTAAATGTTATAACTGTTTACTAGCTTTCTTAAGGGAGTATAAAAAAAAATGTTCTGGTTATGTTTGAAGCTCAGAGTTAATAATATTAATATATTATAATTATTTATACACATAAAAAAAGATTTTCCTTTGGTCTAGTCTAATCTTTAACAATCTCTTTCGAAAAGCACACCCCTGATCAATAATACTTATTTGCAGGCACCTGTATAAGAGATTGTACACCTTGAACTGGATTACCATTGGCGTTTACCTTTGAAAAAATAAATGAATATTAAATAGTTGTTTCATTAAATTTCGTAATGTTTAACTTACCTGTATTAAAGGCTGAATAAGATGTTGAGTTCCGTGGTCTGCATTGCCTGTAGCGTAAGCAATTATTTTTAATTCAATAAGCTGTTTGCTTTACTTTGCATACATAAATATTTAAGTAAACTATGCTGCATACTTTTTCCATATATAAGAACGCCTTTGGGTAAATGTGAATTGCAAATGAGAAGTAAAATATTCTTGTAGTAAACGAAACGTATTAATTAGTCATATTTTAGATGCAATCAGAACAAACTTTGTTCTAATATTTAAATTATGATAAATAACTAAAAAGATTTGTTGAGAAATGATGAGAAAGCGCCAAGAATATAATTATGTATAGACTACATAATGAAACGCATTTGCATGTTTTTGCGTGTATGAATATGTAAGTCATGTGTGTGTACATGTTGTCTAGCAACTAAACACGAAATATCACACGCTAGATCGGTTTTATAAATTAAAATATCAACTTACAAGTTGTAAAATATTTAAAAAAGATAATATTTATGCATTGTTTACAACTTCACAAAGTTCGGTAAGGATTGTAATGCGGAAATAGAAAAGAATAGCGTTTAAAAAGGAATAATCATTTTTAAATTTTATAAATAAGAAAAACTAGCGATTTGTTAGTAATAACTTTAAAAAACGACATTACAGGTAACTCATTATGCTAACTCGTAATTATGAATATGGAATAAATCTTACCAAGTTGATGATTTTCATTCGCCATATTTGATGGCTCCGCCATGTTGAATAGTAATGAGCGGTGTATTTGCGTTCTAAATGAAACCCGTAGTATTGCCGATTTGTCTAGAATACATCCACCAAAGCGTAGTCGACGGTGATTGGTCAGAAAAGGTTTTTGTTAATGAGGACGAGTCCACTGTCTAGTAAATATGGCGGCATAGTTGATTAACTATAGGATTTTACGAAGGATTAGACGTTTTTTCTCTTTGATTACACTTTCTCTCATAATTTTCGAAACATTCCAAACGAAGTAAAAGGTATATTAACCTATTCTTTAAAAACTAACATCTGTTAATCTTTATTAAGGGCTATTTCCAACGAATTAAACCTAAATCAGATAATTATTTAAATTATTGAAGGCTGGAAGCTTGTTATAAATACAATTTTATAAAAATAAATTTAAAGACTGAAAATGTATCAATTTTAGTAAATACATATGATAGACTCTCCCATATGTCAGGAGTGTCAACAGTTACTGCATCAACTGCATTTTTTTGCAGATGGCTTCATCGAACAGTAGTCAGTGGACCAAAGATGCAGCCGACCAGAATTTCGATTATATGTTTAAATTGCTCATAATCGGCAATTCAAGCGTTGGCAAAACCTCATTCTTATTCCGATATGCGGATGATTCCTTCACATCGGCATTTGTTTCGACGGTAGGGATTGATTTTAAGGTGAAGACCGTCTTCAGGCAAGATAAAAGGGTAAAGCTGCAAATATGGGATACAGCTGGACAAGAACGGTGAGCTTTTTATTAGTGTTTATGCTCTTTTCCAACTCATTCTGAATAATCAAGGTATATTACAGTATATTTTGAAATCATCAGGTGATTAATTAATTTTTCGTATTCCGCCATCTTGATACGTTTATTAAATTTTCCTTGTTTTATATAACAAGATTTTATACATCTTAATAATTAGATATATTAATCTAATACTATAAACTCTTTACTCGAGTATGATCTATTCAAAAAGCAAACGTATTATTGATTCAGAGTTTGATTGAGTACTTTTGTTTTTTATAATTTTATAGTTGTATGTTATTTTCCATGAAAACAGGAAAGACAATTTTATGGCTTTATTTATTGGTTTTGAGAAGAATACCTTGATTTTGAATATTTTATTAGTTCAGTAATCAATAACGAGTACAATTTGAAATTAATCTTTGCAGATACAGAACAATAACGACAGCCTATTATCGGGGGGCTATGGGATTTATTCTTATGTATGATATCACGAATGAGGAGTCGTTTAACGCTGTTCACGATTGGTAAGTTAATTGACGAATGCTAGCAGGTACTCGAAAAATCAATAACCTTTCCGATGTAAAAAGAGAATAGTGTAAATTATGCAAGGACGCTTAGAAAGTCGAATAAACAACTGGTCATTAATAATCTATACTAGGGGCATTTTTCCCCTCCCCCATTCTCCCTCTCCCTTAGCCACCTCCTCACACTTACGGGCGCATTTATTGATTATATGGAAAAACTTCCAGTTTGTAAATAACCGGAAGTATACAATAATTTCAATTATTACGCTTAAACATGTGTGAATTTTAACTTAATAAAAAGGCAATTCAAACCGATTTACGTCACAAATGAACCACGTTTTTAGAAGTTCAAACATCTGTTAGTACAATCCTAAATAATTAAAAATATCTCGAAAACAAATCGTTCTTCCCCTCAGTCTCTGACCGACCTTGACCGTTACGGAAATTTGACTTCAATATAGAGATGTACAGATAAATTTTCTTTCGTTCGAGTGCCAAACGTGATACGAATATTGTAAAAAAAAAAAAAGAGAGGCAACTCTGCTAATGTGAAAAACAATTTTTTCATTTTTATCAGTGGTCTTCGAATAATCCATAATTTTGACTAAAATCTTAGCTTCAGAGCTAATCTGAGCTAAAATTTACCCTAAGAGTGAGGAACAGCATTTACAACATTAAATGTTGAGAACAAGTTATTTATATATAGAATTTAATGTAAAAACCCATAAAATTTTCTCAATGTATTAGTTTACTATCGATCGAAATTTTCCTCTATCATTTCACTGTTTTTTTTTTTGTATTTTATATAAATTTATTTAGTTTATTATATTCAATGTACTGATTTTTTTGTTTTAGTCATATTTTCCAATATACATTAAATTCGTTAATTTATCATAATAAATTAAGCGACCGACCCCTATAATTAACGAAGCGGTTTGCGTTATTATTTATCATAAAAATATCTTGATACATATCTACATACAATAATAAGTCTGCTTAGTAACTTTGTAGTTAGTTAGTGGTTCAGATACTATTTGGGACATTGCCCCTAGAAACATACTAAAATTGGTATAAAATATATAATCATAAAATTAATTTTGTTAAAAAAAAGTTTATCTATGAAGCTATGTAATCTTTTCTTTTGCGAGTTCAAAATGACTTTGATGTAACTTTAATAGATCTCTTTTAAGGCTACAAATACTGATATATATATATAAAGATGTTTAAAAGATAGGAATATGATTATAATATAACTGTATATCAAAATTTCTCCAAAATCATGAATTTTTTCCCCCTTTTATCAGGTGCACTCAGATCAAGACCTATTCGTGGGACAACGCGCAAGTGGTGCTGGTCGGTAATAAATGCGATCTGGAAGATGAAAGAGTTGTTTCAACTGAACGCGGCAAACAATTGGCCGATCAATTAGGTTCGTTTCTGGCTTTTCATTCTCTTGTGGGAATTATCAGACAATCTAGTCAGACAAGTAAGATAAAAGAAAAGCGTATGAAAAGTCGATATTATATAATCTGCGAGCAAAGAACGCTTCATTACGTAAGGTCGATAGAATCCAGCTAGTATGACTAAAGGATTGAGTTAATCGAGTGTAATGATAGTTAATGTAGGAGGGTTTATAAGAAAATTCAATACTGTTAGAGCTAATTAGTTGCTAATTAAGTATTTTCGATAATCAACAGGTCTGGAATTCTTCGAAACATCAGCAAAGGATAACATAAATGTGAAGGCTGTTTTTGAGCGGCTCGTTGATATTATATGCGATAAAATGAGCGAAAGTCTCGATTCGGATCCGAGCATAATGAATAATCAGCAAACTCGACGACTAACGGATAATCAATCCGGTCAGGGCGCTCAGTCAAGTTGTCAATGTTAGAATAAAAAAGCAAAGCAAAAAAGTATAAAAAGAATATGTAGATGAAAACTAATCTAAAATCATCAAACAAAAAAAAAAAAGAATCAACCAAAAATTATTCCCACTCTAATGCTACTATAACTACTATATTACTACTATTACTACTACTACTACTACTACTACTATTCAAGCAAAAAAAAAAAAAGAATAATTTTATGTTCATTTCTTCTGTTATACCTATTAACTTATTTTTTTTTCGTGCGTTTTATCTAGCGCTTCTATCATAAATATGGAAAAAAAAAGACGCATTCCAAAAAGAAAAATTAAAAAAGACGTTTTTTTTTGTTAATAAAAAAAAAACGACAAACCTAGTCATGTAGGCCTGTAGAATAACGTCAAAATCGAGCACGACAAAAATGTAAAATTTTTAACTCGTAGCGTTATTATAGACTGTGATTAATTTTACTCGTTAGTTAAGTGTGTTTGAGTGTCAATGTGAATATAGAACGTTTTAAAATTATTTAGAAGATAACAATTTTAATCAGTAAAATATTCGAGAGAATACAAAATTCGATAAAAGTTAATTAAAATGAAACATTTGAAGAGAAAAACGCTATAAAATATGTTGAATTTTATTCAATGTAGACTCTATGCCTGAAATTGAAGTATAAACCATAAAAGGGATTTATCTTTTGTTGATATTATAGCGTAGGGTATAAGGTTATCAATTATTTTAAGTTAGACCTATTCAGGCAAGATTTAGAAAGGCGTCTAATTTTAAGGTGAAGAAAAGTGTCCTTCATTTAACCCTCCATCGAATTTGAACTTAACAATCAGGTGAACAGTCGTGGGACGACTGAATTGGAATCGATTTGTTGCAAAGCGAAGTAATTGTTTTGACGTACTTTATAAAGGGAGAGAGAGGGAGAGGGAAAGGGGAATAGCCCGATTAGCAGATAAATGTATTCTCTTATTAAACCAACCATAAATCGTTGCATAAGAGAAGAATATGTAGTTCTTTCTCGACAAGATTTCATAAATATTTTATGGCAATGAAATGTAACAACATTTATTATCTCTTCTTCAACAAAATAGCGCTTTGTTATATGTCCAGATACTGTAGGACTACATTTTTACGGACTGTATGCTGGTGATAAAAACCAAATCCAATTATAGAGTACGGCTGAGACCATATATTTCAAAATATCCTTTAACATCACATTTATGCTGTTTGCATATATTTTCTTTGTTAATTTGGTGAATTTTGTGGAGAAATGATTCATGCTTTACGTCATCATCGTTCATTGTATAGCTGCCCTGGATTCCTTATAATCTAGGGCTTTTTTCCAGACTTCAGCGCTCAACTATTCTTTCCGCTTTTCCTAGCAATGTCAGCTTGACTGTAAACTGCTATTGGATAGTATTGGATGAAAATCTTAAATAGGATTGGATAAAATTAAAATAATTAGCTGTTTTCTTTGAAAAACAAATCCGTCTTGATTAGTTTCAATCTCCTAATTTTACCATTACTTTCTCCCTATATCAGAGAAAGAAAATGCTTAAATTAAAATATAAGGATACTTTTTCTCTTTAAAGAAGAAGCATCTAAATTTTCTTGTTATACTCTCATTTATCGTTTAACTTTTGATAAAAGTAAAGTAATTCAAGGGGTAATTTTAGGTGCAAATTTATATCCAGTATATACATTATAGATATATATATATACTGTATATACACATACTTATATACACTGTATAGAGAGAGAGACAGAAAAGCGGAGGAATATATATACACATATACGTGTCTTTGCAGTATTTAACATTGAATAAATTAGTTCTGTAAATCTTATCTTCCCCCCATTAAGCCACGTATTACGACCTTTAAAGTATCTTCGTATAAATTAATACTTAGAAGATAGATCTTTCCAAATGCACATAAATATATATATAACGCTGAAGAAATGCTCTTTTTTTTGGCACTAAATATAGACATATCTGTCTTCTGATTACAATTAGATTGATTTTATATGATAGTATCAGGCTGGTCACTTGTAAAAGAATTATTTAAGTCTATACAAAGGTATAGAAATTAATTTAAGGAATAAAAGAAAAACATAAAATAAGAGAAAGGTAATAAAATGAAAAATGGCTAAGTCTTTTGATGAGTAATTTCTTCAAGTCACTTTATTTTATATAGAACACACTATCCAATCATTACCATATTGGGAATATCAATTAAATCTAGACATTTTTTGTTATTTTACTTTGGTGAACAAATGTGCATGCTGTAAAATATTTCACATTTAAACAGAATATCATATCTTTATATACATCTTTTATTTTTTTTATGAAAATAGACCTACTTTCTTTGGTAGTTTCATGTTAAAAATCTAAAAATGGAGTTGTTTCAGTCTTTTTATTTTTAGGAATCTCTTATTACCAATTGAAAAAAATATATATATATAAAGGATGAGAGTCTCTATAAAGAATAAAGGGAGACAAAGAGAGAGCGAGCATAGTGTGCGATTTAAACTGATATATATATATATATATATATATATATATATATATATATATAGTATAGCATATACTGCATATCTAGTGGAATGGAAGAGTTGATGGTTAAACATTTGTTATAAATAAGAATGTATTTCTTTAGGCAAATAACTAGTTGCTGAAAGTTATTGATAAAATAAATTCTTATTTATTAAAGTGGAAGAAGTATTGAACAGTCAATGACCTCTACATTTATCTATTTGCAAATAACAATAATATAAAATAAACTATTGAATAGTTTTTGAAATAAACGAAAAGGGTTTTTTTTAAATTTTAAATATTCCCTCCACCCCTATTTTCATATTTTTCCCTCCCCATTTATTAAACATTCCTTCTATTTTGCATAATTTAATATTATCACGGAATGTCAATTGAGCTTTAGACTCTGAGCTGAAAAAATATTAATATATATACATATATAAACAGATTGAATATTTTCTTTTTTGCTTAAACTTCTTGCTCTGAAAAATCTTACGGTAAATTGATATTCAAAAGATATTGGCTTCAAAAGAAAGAACGATAAAACAGATAATGTACACATAAAAAATATTCAAGTCTTATATAAAATACACAAAGTCTCTCTGTAATGTATTGTTTATTCTGTATAATTTTAATATAAGAGAGATATTAAGATAGGGTTAAAGAGAGAGCGAGAGGAATAAACGGAAACGGAATGAAATACTTTCTCTCATTTCTGGGATCAGCGGTTTTATTAAGATCCTTAACGTTTCTCGAAATGAACAAATTGACATTTGGTGAATATCCATTCTATTAAAACGTGATTTATCCTGTGGCGGGAAGATATATGTATGAATCAGTTTCACAGTATTCGAACGACTTTTATTCTGTCAGATTAAGCATAGATTACTCAGATAATCCAAACAAAATTGATGTATTTTTGTTTTATATGGGATTTCACAACTGATAATTGCATTCTAAATACATTCGACTATCTCGTAATTCAGACAATATGCCTGATAAATAAAAATTGACCTAATACATAACCAAAGACTTTAGGACTTATGAGACAGTCTTACTATTGAAATTTACAGAAAACAATTCTACCGGTTTGTGGAGAACTACAATATATTATATTAGAACAACCGTCTTCCTAATCAGATTAGACAACTAACTTTTATAACAGAAATAGACAATGAAGGTTCCATTTATGACAAGATATTGTCTTTAGTTTATCTCTTTAGTGGATTCATAGGCACAATGGTTTTTTGCACTAAGGTTCTTTTATAGCTTTAAGTGAGACTTTTGAAATTTCTCCCTCATCTTTATCAACTTCTACACTCTGAAAATTACAATTTATATGTTGTATGTGTAGTATAAATTTGCATATAATTAACAATACTTACACTCATGTAACATAGAAAAGAACACCATCCAAAACTAAGAAATGCTACAAATATTACCCTGAATTTAATAGGAATTAAATAAAAATTTATTAGTTGTGCTACAGGCCATATAGTCAAGTCAGCCTGAAAATATCAATTAATTTCCTTTTAATGAACTTGTTATATATAAATAGCAAAACATTTACTTTATATACAGTTATAAATTTTGATTTCAATTCGTCTACAGCATCATTTAGAGTATGACCAGCTAAAAGTCCAGCTCCTAAAACGACATATAAAGAAAAGATTCAATTATAAATATCACTCAATAAATCAAATATGACAATAAAATCTCTTGATATATAGTTTAACTGGTTTTTTTACATTTTTAATAGTAAAACTTTACTTACCAATGAAAAATATACTTGTAAACATAACAGATCCAATTGTTTCATCCATGATAATCTTTTTAACGATTGGTCCAAGATTTCTTCCCGGAAAAAATTTATCTAAATTTGTATACCAATAATGATTCAATGGACCATTTATCCCTCCCAGAATCATCATTCTACCTATGTTAGGGATATTATTTCTTCACAATGATAGGGACTCCTCAGAAACACTTACCAACTGTTGACCAATCTCGCTTCTCTCTATGATTTCTATACATTTCTATTTGTTGTACAGCAACTTCACCTAGACCTAACATGACCGAACATGTGGCAATATTCGTTACCAGTAAATATTTATTAAACATGGTATTATACGATCGAATTAGAAGTATCCGTATTTTATTCATAACCATTGCATCAGATTTGCCCTGTAAACGTACGGAATATAAGGTCTACTTAAAAATGGGTAATTGAAAAGTCTACGAATGTTTCCTAAGTTTACCAAATGGGTTCTGTTATTCTAATATAAATAAAGTTAAAGAGTAGCATTTATCTAATAGATTATACTTACTTTAAATTAAAACTGTTCAATACAGACAGATAAATTTGATAAAGAATATATGACATTCTAATCTTTATGGTAGTGCCATCTGGTGTTGTAAAATGATAGAAAATATATCAATATTCTAAAGATAACCTGGCCAACAATGAAAATATTTGAGGCTAAGATTAATCATACAGGCTATTAGAATAGGAAAAATATATAATATTTATTAATAATAATTGTTCAAAGTTTCTAAAACAGAATATAAAATTATATATTATATATTATCAATTAAATACAATATGGTTTAAAAGATTAATAAAGTTTTCTTTTCAAGATATCCATAACACTGGTTCAAAAGCTGTGACTGTCCACAAATCAGTTGTAATTATAAAAATATTCATATAACAATAGACATATTTTCTCTAATATTACTTTTTCCAACTGTATTCTCCAATTATAAAAATTTATATATACTGTATTTACATTATAAATAAATTATATATAATATATATAAATAATTATAATTATTCAAATTTTTCATTTATATATATATATATACATACACATATCATTTTTGAATATCAATTTAAATAAATATTTAGATATTAATATTCATGAATATTTAAATTAACTCTTTTAATATATGAAATTTATTTATTATGCAGAAAATTGTATTTTTTATTATTGAAGGTAAAATATAAAAGAAAGAAGAAGAGAGAAAAGTTATTTTAAAAAAGAATTTTTATAAAAAATATCTATCTAAATAAGAGACGAAGTATAAAATACAATAACAAATACAAAGTAGCCATAGCTAACAAAAAACAAGAATAGTTTGTGTCAAGATATAGTTAAGATAGAGATAGGTAAATAAACAAATAAAATAAACAAATGAAGTATTACTATCGATATATATATATATATATAAATGTGTGTATAGACAGACTTAAAACAGACAATAACATCACGTTACTCTTGAGCTTGATTTACTATCAATAATATTATAAATAACTAAGTTTATGAAAAAACGTGTTTATATATATTGTTTATGACTATATCTTTCAAGTTTATTTTTGGGTCACATTTTACTTAATACATACACCTTTGTAACAATTAAAATGTGTTTTTATTTCAAATATTTTTAATATGGAATGTGTTTAGCTAAATAAGAAGAAAAAAGAGAAATAACCTCTTTGCTAAGTAAAATATTCAATTGAATTCCTTTTCTCACTTGTTATTTGCGGTAAATTATTGCCAATTATAAATAGGAAAAAAAAAGAGGACTGGCTATGACTAGATTCCTCAAATCTCATACTGTGCTGGGCCTATATGCATAAAGTGAGTATTACCAAACTTATTACTATATTCATTTTCTTTTATATATGAAAAAACATATGTACATATATATAAATTTATATTATTCAGGCATATTTACTGATGTAAACAGTATAAGCACCTTTAAAGTGAGAAGCCAAGCAAATAGCCAATGATAAAAAGCCTCTGGGAAAATATTTTCCATCAGTACGCTCTAAGTAGCGTCCTTTATTGCACATAACTTTTGGCTAGGAGAAAAGATTGTCTAAAACATCATATAGAAAGGAACAATTAGACTCAGCAAGAATATATTTAAGGTAAAATTTTCTCTTTTTTTTTATCAATTTAAGTTAATCTAATCAAGATTTTATTTTCCTCTCTTTCTCTTTATCTATCCAACCTTTTTTACTCTTTTATGTAATCAATGATCTTTTCTCTAACGTAAACCCCGACAAACAATTGGCTTTGAGTTGAGATGTTTACGCAGCTCATTAAGCTGATTGATTGAAGATGATGTAAATAATTAAATAAGTGAAAAAATAGTGCGTGATATGAACTAACTAACGAATGAGATAAGAAAAATAAAAAGAAAAGGAGATATTGTAATATAGATTTAAAAAACATGGAACAAGAACATTTAGTTTTGTTAAGATATTCTTTTCAATGAATTATCCCTTTACTATTTCTCCTTATCTTTTACTTCTTCTGTAACTATTTTATTGAACATTTTTTTCCTTTTTATTTGCAAAAGTTGCCTTTCTTTTTTTTTTTATAAAAAAAACTAATAAAAATATAATAAAATTTTTCACACAAATAACAAAGCAAAAAAAAAAATTTGATGAATATGGTAATATTAATAATATTAAAAACTTAATATTTAGATATGACGATTATAATCTTTTCTTTGTTTTACATATATAAATATCTTTCCTTTAAGAAAAAAATTTTATATATAAAAAAAGAGTAAAAGTTGAAAAAGAAAGATATGAGAAAAATACATGAAGAACTTTACCGGAAGTTCTACTTCTTACCCAAAACAAATTAACCTTCTTTTCCAATTCCATTTTATTATTTTTTGGTAAATTTACTAGTTTACTTTAGATAATTGGAAAGATGAAGGCCATTCGATCTCTAGGCTACATCACTTGGGGTACGACTCACTTGAAGAGGCTTTTCTTCTTTTTACTGCCAGTATTTTGAAAAGAAGCAGATGGACGGGTACAATGTATGCAGTAAGTAAATAATTGACTCATACTATTTCCCTCGTCCTTCTTCCTTCTCCCAAATATTGTTAGTATATAGGTACCCATCTCTAGCGACCCAATATTAATTTTATGCTTTTTATTACCATCTTTAATTGAAACTCTATCTTCGTAGTTTTCATTCTCTCTCGTCAGATGACAGGAGAGTTTTAGAGAGCTACTTCCAGCTCCAATCTCGATTAATAGGCTATTCCCTTGTTGTACCTCTATTTCAGGGCTAGGATGTGACAGAAGGCTCATACCGAGTTGATTAAAACCCTCCGTCCTACCCAATTTAAGAGAAGAATGGTCAGGGGATTTTGAGCCATTTTTCTCTTTCTTCTCCTTTGATAATTGACGCATGTAATGATTGTCTGGTTGATGAAGCTTGGAAACATTTATAAGATATTTGCAGGCATGAGATAAAGATTGTGATTCCCTTGAATCTTCTGGTCTTGCGTAAATATCAAGACCGTATTGGCCCCTATCAGGTGCTTGAATTCGTATATTCCAAGTAGTATCAGTGACCATAGAGTGAGTAACATACTTTTGCAATAGCGATTCTGTTACGTCGTTCTTTCTCAGCTTGATTAAAAAGTACAAAGGTCTTGGTACATGAAATTCTAAAAAGCATTCTCCAGTTGGATCATCAATATTTATCAGACCCGTTTTATGTGTCTTTGGTTTCATTCCAAAGTGTCTTTCTGCCTTAGATGGACCCCATTCACCTGGAGAGCAAGCTGGCAAAGGATGCATTTTCCCGGCAATTTCTGAGCAACGAATACGAAATTTGCAAGCACATTTTAATCGAAATGGTTGAATTGAATTTGAGTCTTCTCCCAAACGATGGGAATTGTCGATTTTGTTGGCAAATATCTCAAGGAAGAACTGACCTGGACTTGGTAAATAGACATTAAATGTGGCAAAACCTTCGGAGATTGTTTGAAAGACAAATCTATCAAGTTTAGCTCCTTTGTAATCCGTTTCGTTCTTTCTATCCTTCTCAGCTCTTCTCAGTTGATAGTGGAAAATTAAATCGGGAGCAAAATCATTTGGTACTTTTATTTTTACTTGAGCCTCACCTTTCGAATCACAATCTATAATAGCTTTGGTATTTCTTGGACTGTGTTCTAAGCCAAATAGAAAGAAAACAGATCTAACAAAAGGCATATCTTCAAACTCTTCAATAGTTATTGGTTTCTCCAACAATTGCCATTCTGGATCTTTAGCCCAAAATTCTTGGATCATTTCGTCAGGGTCGGTTAAGAAGTAGTGCTCATCGTATTGATATCTGATTTTATCCCTACCTCGCTTAACAGGAGCTTCCTCTTTGGGTTCTGCATCCTTGTTTAACACCAAATGTCTCGCACCCCAATTGCACTGAACCGGCCACCAATCGTTCTGAAGTAAGACTGCATTCCAAGTATTTTGGAAATTTTCTTTTATTTTCATGCCTGGTTCGTAGCCAACTGATTTTGAATGGCCCTTTATTTCCACACAGGCTAGACCGGCGTAAGAACATATTCTCATAAAGAGGGTATGGTACGTTTCTGTACCGAACTTAATACCCCTCAGAATACCCATAGGAGAATCGGAATTGTGGCTTTCTTGATCGTCAAATTTCAACTGATTAAGATCTTTCACTGTGATCCATCTAAATATGGCTCTGGCTTTTTGTAGGTCTGATACGCAGGGTCCAGTTAATTCCTCAACAAGGTCGGTAAACTTTTCATGCTCTTTTTCCGCAATATCGAAAACGTGCTGATCCAATTGTTCAAATTCGGATGCATCTAAGTACAAATCACGCTTTCGGCAAGAGGGCGGATGAGGTCCAGGTAAATCAACTGCCATAGCTTTTACGGCATCAATAGCCTCTTTAACCGCTTCCACATTCGCCTCCTCGCCATCAGCTTCCATACGTTCTTTGGCTTCAACCTGTAGATGGCGTTTACCATTGTTTATCATTCTCGAAAAATAAAATAATTTTGTCAACAAACTCAAAAATATTATTTAATTGATTCATCTATTATTAATAATTGTGCAAAAACTGTAACGCTTCTTTGGCTGAGTGTGACCTTGCGGCAATAAATAACGGATGAACTGAATATTTGCCTACTTGACAAGCTAAAAAAAAAAAAGCTAAAGAATTTAAAGAGCGGCAATTAAAATAGTAAAACCTTTTTCACTTTTCTAACTATTAACAAACATACAAAATATATAAGCAATAACTCGTCTTTTATGCAATTAAATAGGTATGAAGATTTTTTATTTCTATTTGTTTATTTTCTCAACTTTTCCGTGTTTTTTTTCATGTTTTTTTTCTTTTTTTCAGTTTTTAGCATTGATTTTTTTTTAAAAAAAATTAGCTTTTTTTTTTCCCTCTAAAAAGAAAATAACGGACCGTAAAATGGAAAAAAATGAACAATTTGCTAGCTAAATTATAATCAATAGACCTTTGGGATTAGTAGGCCTATGTTTAAACAGGCTGCAATAGTCTCACCATTATTTTTACCCCGTACATCTCCTATCCCTTATCCTTTTACGTGAGCATGGGTATTAACGGGATTACTGAGTGTGTGAGAGATATGCAAGTATACATTGATATAGGATAAGAGGAATGGCCTTCGTATAAAGATAAGACAAATCCATTTATATTTTGACAATTTTTCCCTTTTTACTGCACTACACGACTACTGATATAGGATACGTATTGAAAGATTTGGAATGGGAAAAGTCATCATATAACTCGTATTGCGCCTTTACGACAAGACAAGAATATTCAACAATTTATTCTAGTCTCTTTTATTAGGTGAAGATATTGTCTAAGGGTCATAAAAATATGTTAAGGTGTGTAGAACTTGAATGGGCTCAAAATCTTAAATACCACAGGAGGTTGTAGACATTGTGCAAATGGAGATATGTTACTCAGAGGAAGGGGAGGGGAACGATCGAAAGAAAGGGTTAAATAAGTAAAAGCCAACCGAATCACGTTCTAACGATAATTCAGCTATTCGTTTTTATAGGCCTAGATAAATAGCGAAAACGTATCGAATATTTACAAAGGATTGAATGCTTTTTCGAGGTGCATTCGGGCACGCATGAACCACTGCTTGGTCTTCCACCCCTCTTTTCTATACACCTACATAATATGTTCTTTGTTCGTAGTCTATTATAATACATAATCTATTATCAAATTTCTACTGAAGCCAATAAAATAACAAAGTAATAAAAATATTAGAAAATGTATACTAACCAACTCAACAACAATTTCCTCTTTCGTTTGTTGCATTTGTTCTTTGTGTAACTGTAATAATTTCTCACTTTGAACGGCAATCATCTTTGAAGTTTCTGCTTGTGATTTTTCTTGTAATCTGAGGGTCATTGTTGCTTTCTTCTTTTGTCTCTTTAGCGTCATATGCTCTTCTAATCTTTCCTTTTCTTTATAGAATTTTTGTGTCATGACTTCCTTGTCGCCAGAATCTTTTCTCTCCCTTATATCCAAATCAAATTTCGCCTGAAGAGTCTTTAATTTTTCCTCCCATTCAACTTTAACCTCATTTTCAATTTGTTTATCTTGTTCAACTTTCTCTTCGATAAATTGTTTATGCAGTTCATCCTCTTCAAGAGTAAATTCCTCCTCCAAACGCTCCTGAGCTTTTCGTAAAGCCTCAGCTTTAGCTGCATGCATCTATTTTAAAAAAAAACCAAAAAGGAATCATTTAAAAGTGATTCTTTCGATGAACTTATTTTTATTGATTAACTTCCGGTCAATAATCTTCCAACTGACGATACTCTATCAATAATTAAAGAGGATAGAAAAATTAAGTGGTCTTGAAGAATTCAAGTGTTTTTTTTTAAATTTTGTTTATTTATTTGCCAGTCGAATGGAAAACGTTATACACTTATTACCGTCCACTAGTATTGGAAGAAAAAAGAATATGACAGTGTTTAATTCAACCAAACACAATATCTTTGTGAAAAAAGTAAGGCTATTTACGTTTCCCATTGACTCGGCCAATTTTTGATATCATCTAAACAATAGAGGTTTGAAAAGAATTTTAAACAGAAGAAAGTGAAAAAAAACGGAGATACATAAAAAAAATCTTCTTTTTGCGAAGAATAGTCGGGTTTTTCTTTTTTAAAAAAAAGACTTTCGGATATAGGCAATACTTTATCAATTAAAAAATAGGAAGAAAAATGTATAGAAAGATTGTTTTCTTACCACAAAAGCTGGGAAATGATGTTTGTCCATATTAGTGGGGGCTTTATACTCCTTTCGGGCATTTTGGCCAGCTATGGCTGACCGAATAAACATTGCAGCACCATCAATTTTCGGCCCCAATTGCCCTGGTACATAATGATGTCTCAGATTGTATGGATCAACCGCCTTTGGTGCGGAAAGGGCATGCTTTAGACCCAAAGAGTGAATATCTAAGCGTACCGCTTCCCCTTCCGGTTTATGTTTAGAGCAGTAAATTTCTTTATTAATATCCTTTGAGAAAGAAGGAGCGGTAAAGTAAGTCCTCATACTCAAAGGTAGTCCACATTGCTTACACCTGAAGCATTGCTTATGAAAGACAACCCCATTAACTGGTCCAACTTTTTCCACTTGATACACTCTCGCATTACATCGAAGGCACATTTCAGTAGTTTTTGGTGCAAATAGATTTTGCAAACTTCTCGGAGCACTAGACATACTAGTGACTGAAGCCATTTTTAATTTTTATCTTTTTACTTCCTTCAGAGTCTTCAAAACACTGCAGAATAATAAAAAAAAAGTGTCAATATAAGTTTTCTTAAAAAAAAAACACTTTCGAACAGAAAAAGAAATATTTTTAACAAAAACAGAATTTGTAATGTGCTTTCGAATATAGAAAAGAACTTTTCTCTTCTTTCCATAGTGGAAATTCAAGTAGGTCATTACAACGAAATCATATCCAACAAAAATATTCAATTCTTAAAAGGTCTAAATTTTCAAATATTGTTTTTTTCTTTTCTTTTGATTCATTTTTTTTTTAAAAAAAACAATGATAAAATTATTTCAGTACAAAAGGGAGTTATGCTAACATCTATAAACTTTAGTATCTTTTATATTTTTTTTAATAAAACTATGAACAGTTTGAAAAGTTTTAGCATATTTTTAAAAGATTTATAAATCTGCATAATTTATAGGCTAGATCAACTTGAAAATTACAATATATCGTATATATTAATAATAATAATAATAATAACATACATATATAGTATTAAACCGTATTGTATAACCTTAAAAAAGATATTCGTCATTCTATTCAGTATGATATAATATTATATATAAGAATATATATATTAATATACTGTATATATGCATCTTTACATAGCTTATACTTTTGGTGTTTGTGTCATTATCTTAATTATAATCAATGAAATATATATAATACATACAAGATTAAGAGTTATTAATTGTTTAAATTAAAAAAGAATTGATTATTTTAGGATATGGAGAACTATTTATATACAGTATATATATATATATATATATATATCTTCAACGCTCTATCTGTTTATCTATACATCTATCTATGTTTCTATCTACCTCAAAGTCTGAAATATATATAAAGGAACACATGTTCTCATTTATGAATTGAATAAATCTGGTGCTATTTTGAATGAATCGATATATTTTTGGTTTTTTTAATGGCTTGAATGAAAAAAAAAAAGAGTACATTATTTTTTTTTAAATACAATATTGTTAAAAGTCAAAAATGCTAATAGGACTCTCAAGAGTTAAGGGTACATGTACAAATATCAAAATAATGCTTCTGGCGCCATTAAATAGGCGTTGGGGCGTAGCCAATGTCTACCTTGTGATTAAGAATATATATTCGAATAGGAGAAAAAGAACTAAAGAACTCGTATATGTTGTATAAGAAGTTCTCTTTCTTCTCGGCTCTTTTCCTTTCGTTAAGGTTTGTAGGTAAAAATCTAAATATTTAATATACTATTGAAATAAATAGTTTGTATTGTTGTTGTAAGGTAATATTATATCTATTTTATAAAGATGATAAGTCGTTCCTCTTGAAATGACTATTAATATATTAGTAAGAATTATTGAATATTCTCCCACTCCCTTCGTTTGTAGTTTCGATTACTTCGGACTAAATATGGAAATTAGTAATAAAAGGTAAAACCAAGTATGATTCAATACTTTTAACTTTTACCCTCTTATTTCTTTTCTTGTTGTAAATGAATCATTCAAAGGGCATCTAGACTATTTTTCAATATGAACCGGAAGATTCCCATACGTATTTCTTTCGTATAGTAAACAACATCATACTAATGATTTTTGTTTAAAAAATCAAAAATAACAACTTGCCAAGTAGTATCACGTGACCATTAAATATATACTATATATTACAATATTTTATATGTAAAAGAAACTATTTTGTAATATCCTGCCTTCTTATTAATAAGCAAATTTTTCCTTACCGTTTTTATTAGGGTATAAATTTTCTGTTTGTAAAATTACGAGTTAATCAGTTATGTATCCGGTTAACTTGCCAGATTATAAGTTAACGCAAGAAGTAGTCCAATTCCAATAAAAAACGATTATTTTCGGTCAAAGTAAAGCGTTAAAAAAAAAAAGCAGCTCACTACACCGCTTGAACAGTTCGATTGAATGAGCACTGGAAGATCGATTTGCTATGACTTTGAAAATTCAACGTATAAATGCCACTTCGATCACGTGACCTTTTGGCGCCATCTCTATGAACTCATTTTAAAAAACGGAAATTAAATTGATGATTGAGAATTTTTAGAAGATGTATGACGATAAAAGAAAATACCGCTTCATTTTTTAACCCGTCTAAATTTTATATAAAATAATAGAATATATTATCTAAAGTAGGTCTATTTTAAATTAATTTTGCTTTTACTTGTCCACACATTTTAAATAGTTGTTATATTAAATAGAATTATAAAGAGCTATTTACATAGGTAATAAATTCATTAGATATAAGGAAAATTACTATTTACTAAGAAACAAAGAGGCTCAGAAATTAAAGAAGAGAGATAATTTAATTGAATACAAAAAAAAGATTGGGAAATCGTCAAAGTAAAGAAAAAAAAACGGTTGAGGTGGAGCAACAAAATGGCTAAAATGATAATATACGCGGGGGACGGGGAAGACGGAGGGGGAGGCAGGGTGGCTGAAATATAAAATGCAAGAACAGAATAAGATGAAATCGTCTCTTCTTAATCGAAATTAATATAGCGTAAAATGTTCAGGTATACGTTTTCTTTCTTATTAGAAGAAAACATCTTTCTTTTTTGTATAAGTAGAAGCGAGTAATAGCATTCTTTGGGAAAAGAGCCTACTGAAGCATAATCTATAGAAAAGGCTTAATATATCTATAGTCAGTACTAGTACGACATCTGGTGGGTAAGGATAGTTGTAAATATACAACTATAGTGATGGGCTAGCCTACTTGGAAAAAAAAAGTAGATATTGCCAAAAACTTTAATATCGTTCAGAGTAGAATATAAGTTTTTATTGTGTAATCGTACAAATCATTCACTTTTACTCAATGCCTACTGAAATACTAGCTATACAATTAGAGAGAAAGCAGTTCTGTTCTTTTTATATTAACGGCGATCAGGAAAAATAATAATATCCAACTAATATTTATTTATGCAGGTTTAGACAGCGACTAAGTCGGTAAACAAGAAAACTAGAGGGAGTACTTTATTATAACCCTTAAATGAATTTAGATATAGCACAGTAGCATGGTAAGATGTAGTTGAAGCGAGATGAGATTTAAAAATAAAAGGAGGTGAGGTCTTGAAGGTTGAAAATATTTACGAGAGTATACGAATAGGAGGTATAGTTGTATAGAGCGAAAGAAAAAGGTGAGGGATTGACCGAATGAAACGGAGCAGACTCATGAGAAACGATGCCGTAAATAATCTAACGGCTCCGGATAAACAACATAAACGTCGCGAGGGACGCCCAGACACGAACATTTAGTCAAAAATTGCTTACGATATTTAATACTGCTGTACCGAATAAATGTGTTATAAAAAACGGAAAGAACTCTTTCTTACTCATTTGAATAATTTTAAAATTTAAACAATAATAAATGAATATTCAATAGTAATAAAGTTTGTAAAATATAGATTATGTACTCTACATAATATCTTATTATTAAAACAATCCGTAATAATGGAATATAAACTTATAATAAATGAATTAAGAATAGAGACAAGTTTTAGACTTTAATTTAGGTTTTCTTTTTCCTCTATTTATTTATTCATTTATGCATTCATTCACTCTTTTATTCTTTCTCTCTGTCTTTTTTTCCCCTTTTTTAATGCTTTCTCTACTGACATGCAAAAGTAAATAAGGGCAAGAATTGCTGATAATATTATACTATTTGTTCAAGAAGCCTTGTACTTTTATTACAAATGACGCTTTTTATTCGATATATTTCTTACAAAAATATGACTTATTCATATACAAGAGAAGTGACGTGTACAAGAGAAAAGTGTATGTGTAGTGTGGGTGTTGATTAATAAATAACTAATAATTTTTCCTCTTTCTTTCAAGCTCTCTTTCTCTCTCTCCCTCAATGTGATAAAAATTCTATGTAAATTATTACAGGGTTCAATCGATTATATGTCGATTTCTTATAGAAATATGGTTTAATTCAGATAAAAACCTTTTACGTGGCATATTCCATAAACCAACTCTATACTGTATTATACAGAAAAGTTTATATAGGACATTATATATAACAAGTGGCACAGAATAATCATCTACAACATTCTCATAGTTTAAAAGTAATATACTCTTCTTCAGAAATATATTACCTTTTAACCCTTAGTAAATCATCTATAACCCAAATTTATTTAGTTGATCACGTGTTCAGACAATTTAAATATGACGTCATTCTAAAAATAAACATTTCATAAAAACGTTAAAAAAACGTGATTCATTTAGGTGAATGCTGAGTTTGAACGATCTGTTTGGGATAGACTGAGAGGGAGAGAGAGAGAAACCGAGAGAATCAGATAGACAAACAGAGAACGAGAGAGAGACAGAGAAAGAAAGAGAGAGAGAGAAAGAGAGAGAGAGGGAAGGAGTGACAGAATAGGAGAGAGAAGGTAAACGAGAGAACGAGAGAGAGAGAGAGAGAGAGAGAGAGAAGGTATGCTAAAAAAATATTAAATTCCTAAAAAATATCTCTAAAAGAAAAAAAAATCTTTATGAAAAAAATGTTTGAATTTATTAAAATCAATTTAATAAAAAAGAACTAATTATATTTGATCAGCTTTTTTTTATAATTCTCTCTTACAATATTCACTTTATCTTTTAATAATTTCTATATAAATTAGTCAAAATTGAATAATTATGGTTATGATCTATAATTTTTTAATATTGATTTAAATATACTTCATATATATATATATATATGCAGTATATGTATTGAAAATGTTTCTTTTTTACTTACAAGAACTCCTGTAGTTATAACAAGAAAATCATCTTTTTTGTTTAGAATAATTAAAATGTTATCGTTTTAGTAAAATAATGAAAAGAAATTCAATACAAGTTTAAGAATATTTTGGAATTTAATTTTTCTTTACACTCACAATACCATTTTCTTCAGCTATATTATCACCTTTTTCCTTTTGCTCACTTAGATACGAAAAAAGACGGTTATTCAGTTAACTATATAGGGTTAGGAACAATAATACAGTATATATATACTGTATAAATTTATATATATGTAAATAAATAATATGTATTCAGTAGAAAAATCTTTGAATATCTTATAAATATTTCATTAACGTACGTGAAATTAGCGGGGATAAAGAAGAAATTTATGTATAATTAGCTCAAACTATATGTTCAATTGGAAGCAGTTTATATTGAGCTCACCAAATAAATTCTACAATGAAATATTCTTGCTATGTTTTCTCTACCATAAAAACCTTTCAAATGTATATTTTATACAGTATTACATATTAATCAGAAGCTTGTTTATCTGAATATATTGTAAAAATACCGATTCAACAATAACTAAAACCATTAACCGATTTCGATAATGAACAAAGAGCATTAATTACTATGCAAACATTATGTCCATGTTAATGGACAATAAGCAAGAAAAAAATTTTTTTTTAAAGTAACTTAAGTATTTCATTATAAAAATCATATAAATAAATAAAGATATAATAAATGTTCACTCTTTCATTTCATTTATATTAGTATATAGTTATATATATATAAACTGTATTTATGTATAGACCTAATTTCTTCTTTATTTATTCAGAATAATTAAGTTTACAAACGTTCTTCTCTTTTCATTTTTTCAAATGATTCTAATTAAAAATTTTTAAATGATCATAAAAGAAAGGTATATTGAAATATTTATTAAAGGATTTTCTCAACAAAAAGATGACCTCTGTTCTAATATATTGTCTTTTAGATCGCGAATATATATGAAATGTCCTTATGTAAATTAAACGAAAAGAGTATTTATCTATTTTATTTGCTTAATATAATAAATATGTAGATATCATACCTAATGTATGCCTAATACATAAGATCAAAACATACAGTTTACCGTACAAGTGGATGCATGTATATGTCTGTATTTCTTATTTCTTCGCTGGTATTTATAAACATAAACTTTTAAATATATAAATCTAATACATTTATTCTACAAAGATGCTCTTATCGTATATATATATATATATATATATAAAACTATATACAGTATATTTATATACTACTTATGATAGCCTATATATATATATATATATATATGTGTGTGTGTGTGTGTGTGTCTGTGTGTGCATGTGTGAGCAAGTGTGTATGTTTAGGGGGAGAAAGAGAGCAAGAGAAAGAGAGAAGAGAATAGCAGACAGTCTACGCGTCAGAAAGGATATATATGATATCTAATGTACCCTGTTCTTATTACTTCGTCTCGTAATGAATCCAAATACCAAAACGTTCATTGTCACAATTAGATTATTTAAACGTGCGAGTTGTAAATATTAAAACTTTAAATTAATGATATAATTAATTTATTAAGATATAACAATTTTTCAGCGCCATCTGGCGGAAAATAATCTATAAAAGAAAATTATTACTACAACATTATTGCAGTTACGGTACTGCTTCACGCTCAGCCGATCTTTGACTAAGCCGTCTAATTACCCATTCCGGAAGTGGTAAGTTGTTTTTTAATTTACAACGATTAAACTTAGTTCTAAAAACTTATTATCTTTAGTAAAAGAACTTTTTAATATTTTTTTTTTCTTTCAAATTTATTAGGCCTAAGTCTTGGCACGTTTTTAGTCGGCCGTTGAATTACACTTCAAAGGAAGAAAAGGTGAGTGTTTTATAAAGAAAGAAAAAATTCTAAGTCATTGAGAAGGGTGGGGGAGAAAAGGGATCACGAAAATGTTTTTCTAAACGGCACCCAAAAATTTAGGAGAATAGAGGGGATGAGAAGGAGCAAAAGCTTTATAAAATATTGTAAATAAAGATGTTAACCCTTAGATATTTGACAGAATGAGAATGTATATGATGTATTGGAGCAAAGTAGGTAGATTGATAAGTAGTTAGGTAGGTAAAAGGGGTAAAAAAATCGGTAGATGGCGCAGATACAGTTTGGAAAGTAAATGTTTGTCTAACTCTGACGTCAGAGCCGATTCGCCAACGTAG